CTTAAAGAGACAGAGACTCAATTTCAATGATGTTAAATCAGGGAGTCTAATTTCTTTTAAGTCATATTTGATATGTTCAGCATTTTTATAACAACTGAAGGTGAGATAGTTATCGATTGTGCTACAAAATGGCTCCATGTGCTTGGAAAACAATAATACTGCCATTTTAAATTAATTAGAGAGTCTGAAATTCACCAAAGTAATTCAGACATTTCCAAATACAGAACGTAACACGGATTTCAGTTCCAGACCGACTCAAGAAAATAACAGCATAAAAAAAACCTACGTTAACAGATCATATTATTCACAAAAATTCTACATAAATGGCCACATTTGATTTACATGTTTCCTCGTTTCAGCACACCTGAATTAAAAATAAAATATTCACTCACAACCGTTTGTGAACAAACTGTATGATACGTCAGATGACTTTAATTTGAGCAGAAGGTGCTTTTCAAAATACGCAGGGATGCTGAATATAAATGCATGCCACACTTTTCAGATTTTTTTAATTCAAAAAATGCTTGAAAAGATACCAGACTGCTTTGTGTGTGTGTGTGTGTGTGTGTGTGTGTGTGTGTGTGTGTGTGTGTTGTGTGTGTGTGTGTGGTGTGTGTGTGTGTGTGTGTGTGTGTGTGCTAGACTGTTACATAAGATCCCAGTGAAACACGCTGAAGTTTCTGGTTTTGAACACAATAAAATTGTGAAAAAGTTACTTAAAGCAGCATCAACTCTTTTTAAAAGGAGCCCATTTTTTTCCCTTAAAGAGTAATGGTGGATGTGCTGCACAGTCTGCTGTTTTAGGTTTGAATCAATAATCCTAATGAGTCTGCTCAGAAAGAGAGGGAGAGCTGCCCCGCTGATTTACACACACACACACACAAGTTTAGCTTCTCTTTAGTCACACATCAAACGATCCTTTCAAGGCGACGAGGGACAGAGACGTCCAGGATGTGTCCGCTGCCACCATCTGCCTGCCATCTCCAGCAAATCGTTGCATAACCAAGCTGTTTGCCGACCATAAAAATGACATTTTTCACATATTTTAGCGCAACATTTTGCTCATCGTGTCTCCGACGATAAGATAGAAATGAGTAATCGCTGGCGTTCTGACACAAATAGACACTATCCTTAAGAAGAAGAAAAAAACTGGTTGTTGAGCAAAAGTATTAAAATCTGACAAAGATAAAAAATTAAAAAAAATACGATTGTATACGACTGCGTGTTATTTCCCAGCTGAATGGACCTTCAGTCTCTAGTAATAACATCCTGTTACTGATATCCCATAATACCCCTGGATGATGTTCCTGTGTATACTTAGACCATTCTAAGTAAAAAATTAAAAAATTGTGAGGTAATGGTAATAACATGAGAACAAAGTAGTAATGTTATGGGAATAAAGTTATAATATTACCAGGATAAAGTTGTAAAAAATCCTCTTATATAAAGTTGAAGGCCCGTATTTTCTTACACTCAACAAAACGATTCAACACCATTTTTTTCAAGATCAAATTTCATTGAATTTAAACCACATCCTCTGGATATGTTTGTGAGACGAAATTGCTTTCTTGTGTTACCTTCTCAAAAAACCAAAAGACTAAATATCAGGAGCAGAATTTGGGATCTTGTCAAAAGTGGGTTATTCTTCAAAGTGTAAACGGGAGGAGAATGTCGAGATGTTTTGTTGTTTAGGGAAGAAACGGAGGAGAGTTTTCCACTTTTCGAACTCAGAACTTGATGCATTAGGTGACCAAACACACACACGCACACACACACTTGTTTGTACTCTTGGGTTTTGACTTGTTGCTGTTTCAATCGTAACATTAATAGAGCAAAGTGAGTTGAAAATTTAATTGGGATTGAAAGATGGAGGGAAAAGGCTTCTGTGAATAGATGAGTACTGATAGAAAAAACACAAGGCATACACTGCCTTCATACAGTATCCGTCACTCTGAGCGTGTGTGTGTGTGTGTGTGTGTTGCCGGAGGAACAGTTGATGGATTTGCGGCTTCACTGCTCACACAGATTGGTGCCTGCTGTGACGGCAGCCTTGAACTGAAATTACGTGCGCTCTCACACAAAGAGACCTACACATAATTGTGCGTGTGTGCGTGTGTTGTCAGGGTCCAGACTAGCAGGTCGCCTCCAGGAGGCCATTTAAGGCGACGCGGAGGGATGGATGAACACAAGGGCGGGCGAAACGCCACAGAGGGTAACGCAACCCAACAGGCTGGGAGTGCCGTGTTTATGTGTGCTAATAGAGCTTTTATTAGACCCTTTATCACTCGCTAAACATTTTGTGGATTAGCAGCGAGGGCTTTGCCGTCTTTGATCACCGGCTCTTTTTGAAATGCAATAAAAACACGACTGCCCGCTGAAAAAAAGAAGATCTTAAGTCCTTATTTTTCCCCTGCCAATGTCTATATCGAGGGTTATTTACATTTAGCGCTGAAGTCCTGGTAAAGTAATATTTAGTGAGTGAGAATTTACATCACATTGAGTCTTGCTTGTCCCTTTAAAATCACCTTTTGACAGCAACCTTTAAACAGACATAAAACACACTTCATATTCTCGTTAGAAATGCTGTGTTTCCATTGGATGTTAGCAGAAAATCATCCTAATTAACAGAAATAAAGTATTTCAAACATCCATTTGTGTGGAATGAATAGACATAATGTCTTTCACTCATTGATATCATTCCTGGCAGAAAAGGACTTTTTAGTAATTTTCTAATTTACTGAATGTGTCTGTCGATTAAGATAAAAGCAAAGATCAATCCAAGCAAAGCCAGTGGCTCATATGGAAATTATGCAAATAAAACTATAATAAACACAGTGAGGTTATACAGCATTTATGACAATTTCTGAACGTAATTGTAAGTTGAACATGTTTGTTTTTCTTGTAAGAAAATGTGTTGTTTTGCTGTTTTTTTATGTATGTAGCTTAAGACTCCAGAACAGAGAATTCATTCTCAAACACTGCTGATTGTGTTTAAAGCTTTAAATTAGAGTTTATTCCAGCCGAGCTTTTAAAGCTCCAGTATTTATGCTCTTTAAATCTCTATTTCTCTGGGCTCATTATAGTTAGTAAGGTGACGCCATGTTACTTCATTTATTGTAGTTTCTTTGTTTATTCTTGTACTCTGTCATTTGAGTATTTGAATCGGTTTCCCTTTGATCTGCGTCATCTCTTCCTCTCGGTTTGTCCTTTGAGACTCTTAGTTCTGTGTTAATTAGCCCCGCCCCCTCAGTTTCCTACTTCCTGTCGCACCTGTAGCACATCTTCTCTGATTAGCATAGCGCATCCGGGTTCTTTTTGTCAGTTTCATTGCTCTAACTCCATGACATGTAAGTTGTACTTTGTTATTCGGGTCAAGTGAACCCCAGTTAGTTCTTTGTGCCATCCCGGAGTAGTACTCCGCTTTAGTTAGTTTTTTTTTTCCTCTCTTTTTTTGCGGTTTCGGGAAATGAGGGCTGACGAGCCAACCCGAACTTCCGGTTCGGGTTGCTCGTCCTTGCCACTTGTCTTTCCCTCCTTCCGGCCCGCTGTCTTGACTGAAACGGTCAAATAGAGGGGAATGGCGTTTCTAAAACCTTTTAAACAAACTCTGCTCAGCAAGTCTGCTAATAAACCACAACAGGACATGACGTCATCACGGCCCTGTTTAGCGTTCTCCGGGACCTGGTTGTTGAAACCAGGGCTGTTTTCTCAAGCTTATTTGGACTTTTTTTTTTTTAATCCATGTGTTATTTCCATTTACGCACATTGAGTTTACATTCGCTGTATGAACTCAACTTGACTTTCCTCCTGAGTTGAAGGTTTACTCAACTGGCTGTAGTTGTAGAAGTAACTACAGGTTTATTTCAGATCGATTCAAACCATTATCCAACCTTCCAATACATCATGTTTAAGCCTAGTCCCATTCTTTATTTCCCGTCCCTCTGATCCAATTGGATCACTACACTACTCGCTTTTCTGGCTTTTAAAAATGTTTCATAAAGTCTGAACTGATGTTGAGATTCACAAAGCTGATGGGAGGGAAGGTGTGTGTGTGTGTGTGTGTGTGTGTGTGGGTGGGCGTGCGTGTGTGTGTGTGTGAGAGAGGGGGAAAAAATGCTTTCGTGCTGGTAAAATCTTCTTTTTATAGCAGACCAACAATAATATTTGTCTCTTGATGGTATAAAGAGATTATTCTGTCTTCTGTTGCCTTCCAGGACATTTTATGTTGCCAAGCACAAAATTACATTCTTTTCCTAGAAACGTATGAAGACGTTTGATTTGGCTTCTCTTAATGTTCCTGCTATCTCTCGCTCTCTGATGGATTTGTTTTGTTTTCACAGCCTGAGGATAAAATGGCTTTACAATATGGCGCAGTTAGTCATGTGGAGCTCCTTAAAAAATAATGCCTCCGCACTGTAAAGTTCGGATGTAAAGTGAATACCCCCGCAGGAAGGCTTCATCATAAAGTTGTCATGTTCGAATTTTGGATATTAGTGTTGCTGATACATGTGATGGAGCATATATCTCACAGATGTGACTTAAGAGCCTTTGGTATACAGACTGTAATTCACTGGCAGGATGAATAAAAAACGACAGCCGGGTTTTATTTTACAGCAGTAAAGAAAATGTGTTGGCTGCTATAGTGAGATCTTTATGTTTTAAACAGACTTTTTTTCAGTCTAATGGAAAAGGAGCTTTACTTTTTTACTTTGAATGGTTGAAATCAATAAACATGCACACACAAAAAAAGAACCTAAGCTGAACAACTTCCGGTTCGGGAATATTTGGATTTATTCTAGCCGTCAAGCACTTTTAAAACTTTCCTACGATTCATTTTAAGAGTCTGAAACTTTGTTCTAGAGCTTTTCTGACACCCACCTCATTACCAGCGACGGTGTCCATCAGTGTTCCTTGTCGCCGTCTTGTTACAACGGTTTAGGTTTGTTGGCGTTGTGACATTTTGTCGTCTTTTTTTTCCTCCTCCCTTTCCTGTTCTGTAGCGGTGCGTCGGGGAGCAGCAGCGAATCAGAGAGCAGCTCTGAGTCTGACACGGACGAGTCGGAAAGCAGCTCCAGTGACAGCGACTACAACCAGGCTTCCCGCACAAACACTCCAGAGGTAAAGTATGAAATAGGCTCACATTTACAGTGAGAGCCTAAAGGGACAGTATCATGTAAGACTGACTTTTTTTGAGATTTACATCAAGTTATAATGTTATCCCCTGTTCAAAAACATACATGTATTATATGATTGATTCTTTGATGCATGTTTGAGAAATCTTTTCATCTCCATGGCAACCACAAAGCAAAATGGCTAGGGGTCAGAGGGTACCCAGCACTGTGTCCATCAGTGTTCCTGCAGCTCTTTCTTGGAGCCGCAATTTCCAAGCATATGCAGCTCACCCACTCAGCTCCTGCAGACTAGCCAGCAGCAATTAGCAAACACCTGCTGGAACTGCTGAGCTCATCATACCAGCTTCTTCTCAGAACATCGCTGTAAAAACGTTGCTAAATGATTAATAGAGGAGCCATGTTGTGATGACTTTCTGAAGGAAGAGTTCCAGAAAGAGCAGGAGCTTCTTAAAGAGACACAGGCCCAATTTCAAGGCATTAAATCACAAAGTAATATTTTTTTAAGTGATACCTAGTATATGTAGCATATTTTTAGCTATGTCTTAGTGCAACCAGGGTAACAGTTACTTGGTTGTGCTATGAAATGGTACTATGTGCCTGGAAAACATGTGATACTGCTCCTTTAAAGTATGTCCCAGTCGCCATTATGTCTCAAATATTCAGTCAGATTTATGAAGAACGGGTCATAGTCCACTTCTGTCTGACTTTTGGTTCTCTCTTGTGTTTGCATTTTAATTATTTTAGCGTTATCAGTGTCTCTCCATATTAGTTAATTCCATGATACTGAATGTTTAGGTATCCTGCTTTGTGCATTTGACTTTAGCCTCTGAAGTCATCTAACTTAGATTAGTTAGATCTTCATTGTTTCCATTCAGTTTCTCTTGTGCCCATTATTCATCATCTCAGTTCTCTGCCCAGATTGTCCCCAGCTGCTCCACTTTCTGTTGATTGCACCTGTTTTCCATGTTACTCATCAGATCTCCACAGTATTTAAGCTCCTTGGTTTCTCTCTCAGTGTTTGATTCTACTGTTGCTCTGTGGTTCTCATGTTGATGCTCCTCATGTCTTTTCTGCCATTTTTATATCCCAAAGTCTCTTCCATTTGAGTCCTTATCAAAAAAAAGGCAGTCATAACAGTGCAAGTGTTTACAGAGTGTATTATTATAATATTATTGTGTATGATTTGCACAGGAAATTTTGAGAAATGAAAAGGTAAATTAATAAAACTACACGGGACGCTTACCGTTGGCAAAAAAGCAGCTGATTTCTCTGCAACTTGTTCACGAGCATTTATTAAAATTTATAGATTCAAGTCTGTATTAAATGTGTACTTTGTGTGGATTAGAAAAAGTCTAAAACTAAAACTTGCTCTCAATGTTTATTAGTTTGCAACAAGAAAATTGTATTTATAACCATTACATTCTCAAATAAGTGTATAAAATCCAAAATAGTCTGAATGATGAAGATTATTTTATGCAAACATCCAACATGAACTATTTGTGTTGGCATAGTTGGAGTAAATATAAAATGTTTAAGTACAGTTGAATTGAGCAAAGAAAACATTTTCTAACTTTTTTTTCTCTTTAGTAATTAAAAAAACAAAAAAAATGTTCTAACAGATTATTGTTGGGTGGGGTTGTCAGGATTTTTTTTTAAAATCAACAGCGAAGTATTTGCTGTTGTACAAATTTGACAATGTTATTACTACAGCACAGCTATCTGCAACAGGAAGTTAGAAAAAGGAGCAGCTGAATACCCCCATAAGCTAATGATTCAAAAATAAGACAGAACTTATGTTTCATCTTCTTTGTTTGCAGGCTGTTGTTGTTTTTCATTGTCTCTACTGCTACTCATATGCTATTTATTGTATTTATTGTAACTGCTATCAAGGAGAAACTAATAGAAAATAATAAGTTGTAGATGAATACATGAGCTGCTGTGCAGAATCAGGTGGAAAAGTTGCGTTCCTGGATTGCCTTTTTCAACAACTTCATGAGGCAGAACTATTGCCCTCCTCCCAAGTAAGAATACAAGTCAAGTGTCCAAAATTTAGTTTACATCTTAAAGAGTAAGTTGGACTTTAGATTTTTATTCTCCCTGATCACTGGCTGTTTGCTTCGCTCCGACCCGAACGGTCGCAAAGCTGCCTCGTCCCGCAGCGAAAGCCATAAAGATCCCAACTGCAGAGGAGCGAGTCGTGCCATTAGTTATCACATTATTTTAATGGCTCGACGCTGCCTGCTTTTATAGGCTTATGCGGTCTAACACACTGGGAGAAACGCAGAAACACGGGGGGAGAAAACGACGGCAGCGCCGCAGCTTCCACATATGCAATAAAGAGCTTCCAGCACAGCATGATACAATAACCACAAGAAACGCAATACTTTTACATTCCTCTGTAAAGATTCTTCATCCGGAGACGGTTTCATTATTTTTAGAGGCGCGCCGAGTTTCTCACTTGTTTATGACCGAAGGAAATTTAGTTATGATTCCGCTCTGATAAAGTGCAGGAGCTGCGGAGAGCGCCTGCTGAAATATTAATGAAGTTGTGGTTTTTTGTTTTGCTTTTTTTTGTGCTCTTTGCAGCCAGAGCCCCCTTCGACTAACAAGTGGCAACTGGACAGCTGGCTGAACAAAGTCCAGGCTCAGACCAAACCGCTGGTCCCTGCACAGCAGGAGCATCATGGCTCAGGTTAGTGGAGAGCAAAACACATCTTGGTTTGATTTTAAAAAACAAAACTAATCCTGGGTAAATCTGTTAAGGCTCCATCAGCCAGGATCCGCAGACATTTTCTCCCGGGAACGAAGCACCAGGAGTGGGAACCACTGCCAAGACCAAGCCCTGTGGGTCCAGCAGCACACCTGTTCCCACTGCTCCCGCAGCGGAGCACAAAGACAGCAGGAGCGCCTTCTGGTTCGTGTGTTTTCTTTTAAAGGGAATCCCAGCCGGCCGCTCAGCAAAGTGTCAGTAGAGGTGAACTGTTGTTTCTGCTCCGCTCAGCCCGGGCAGGGAGAAGGCCAAAACCAAACTGGGCCAGAAGGCCTCAGGGGAGGGTCAGAGGTCAAAGATGAGGCTGTCGCCAGGCCTGTTGTCGGGGCAGGAGGTCCCGGCGCCGAGGAGGAACACAACCGGGAAGAAGCAGCCGCGCCGGGCCGAGAGGTCCAGCAGCATGGAGGAGAACCAGAACCAGGCGTGGAGTCGGACCAACCAGCACAGGTAACGGAGGAGAGGACGAAGCCAACTGCTTATGCCTCTCAGAACCAGCAGGAGTCTAGACAAAAACACGAGTCATATGGGGAATTATCACTGCTGGAGGCTAAAAAAGTTCAACACAATCCAACCAGGCAACTAACACAAAGTCAAATAAAGACTGTTCAGGTTGACAGGAGTTTTTAATTCCCAAAGAGAGGAAGAACGAACAGATGATGATCATCATCAACAGGAGGGTTCCTGGAATATTTTGATGAGTATGAGGATTATTGTTCTGTTATTGGTCAATAGATCAAAACATAAATTGCCACATAAATAAGAGGACAAAGACATGTGGCTGGATATTTAACCCCGGCTTCACCGCAGAAACACAAAATCCTACCAGGTGTTTTTGGTCTGGTGCAAATGTCTTAGTAAAATGTGATTTTTCTTTTGTCATGATACAGATCTTAAATTTCATTCATAATGGTCTTCTAAAAACATCTTAAATTTGAGTTGGTAAAACCTGTAGAAAAACCCTGTTAGCCGTTTCCTTTCATGTGAAACAGAAAGTTTAGTCAAAATGGTTGAAACTTGGACACAAATGTGTGTATCAACAAGACCATAATCCCAAACACACACATTCTCTCAAGCTGGTTTTGAAATGGATAAATCAGGCTAACATTAACCTTCAGGAATGGCTGTGGCCTTTTCCTGTTTATGGGTTGTAGTAAAAACCGAGATTCAACCGTAACCAGTTTTACCATTTCTGACTAGAAAAGGGTCAAATATTCACCCAGAGCTGGAAGCTATGGCTACTTGGAGATTTTAGTCAGTGTAGATCCACGGAGGGTTTTGGGAAACACACACTTCTTGCTTTTTGAAACTCTGAAGTTGTATGTTGTATAACCATCGCAAAGCAGTTCAAATGCATTATAAAGAACTCAATAATCCAAGGAAATGATTGCAGATGTTGAGTGTGTGCAAAGCATAATATAGTGGATTAGTATTTAGTCTGAGTTTTTTAGGATTGTGATTTCCCACAGTGGATTTAGTGGAACCAACATTGAACTCGTTGCTCAGCTTGACTTCAGGCCAATTAACAGAACAAAACCACTTTCCTGTTTCCCATTTCTCTCTCCCTTACTCACTTATTCCTCTCCTTTCTTGCATCCTAAACTTCCAGACTAGTTCAGTTAAACACATGCTGTTTTCAATTATTTCACCCCGTTGCATTTATTTATCTAGTTTTCCATTTCGAACACCCATTCGCCCCCCGGAGTTAATCCAGGCAAACATTTTGCTCAGCTGTTTGTCAGCGATCAGTAACCGGGGTCGCCGCGCCTTGCTGCCGGCTTGATCTGAACTCTGAGCGCTGCGCTTCCTGTTGTTTGTGTCTCCTCTAACTAGCCCTGCGGCGAGAGAGAAGGACCTGTTGCCCCCGCCTCCCCTGGAGCACCAGAACCCCCCCAGGCTGCGGGGGAAGCCTCTCAGTGGGAAGTCAGCCCCCAGGAAAGAGCCTCGCAGCGCCACCAGTTCAGCCACTCCACCAGCAGCGCTGCAGCAGACCCCCGCGCCTCTTCCTGCTGTCACTGTGAACCAGGTCAGCGTCGGCTCATCACTCAAAACGCCTCACCGCCTCTTTCCAACATCTGGAAAACTCAGCACCGGGTCCGGCATGTGTAGCAGATTGTTCATGCATTCTGACAGAAAGGCTTTGGTTTCCAGCATGAAGATGGCATTTTCAAATGAGAATCATAGATCATAGCTTTAGCTACTTAGCTCAACCTGAATTTATGAAAAAACAGAAAAAAAGTTTTGCTGAATTTTCACAAAAAATGCATTGGCATGATAAATCAGGAGTCATTTGCTGCATTTCCATGACAAATTTGCACAAAACTTTGTCAACATTCCATTAATGTCAAAAACAATTTTTCAAATGCAATGTTTCCATTAAATGAGTGAATAAACCTGATCATGTGATAAGTCATTAAAAAACTTTGTACCATCATCTTCCTACCACTTCCTGTCGTCTCCTTTGCGTGTTCTGCCAGTAGTAGCATCCTGTTGTTGGTCATGCAACTTGTTTGACACAAAGAAAAGATTTTTCACTGCAGCTTTGCAAAATCCATCTGAAAAACCACCTCATCCCAAAATCTCTTTATCGGAAGGGTTTTTTCTAAATTGACGTGTTTCCATTAAGCAAATTTATTTTCATAATTCTACTTGTGCAATTTTATGGCGACTGTAAAAGCAGCTAGTGATGAGATTTTTGATGATTAAACGCTGACATGTTCAACATATTGCACCAGTTTTGTGTTCAGTAACTTGGATGTGTTCATAAAGAAAAATGAACGCACATCCAAATCTTCTATGATTTTAGATAAGTTTTTTTTGTTTTTTTTTTCTAAAAAAACACATTTTTGAGGCTTCATTTCTACTATAAATCTAAAATGATGATGCAAGATTCAACCACATACAGATAAAACATGCATTTGAATTTCTGCAGCTGGGACAGGAAAGATGCCAAAAAGTTAGAAAACAACTTTTGAAATACCTCACTACAACTTGTTTGTGATACAAAACTGCCAATGTGGTTCTAAAGTGACAAAACAATAAAATATCCAAAGCTTGAATACTTTTAATACATTAAACGCAGCAAAGTTTTACATCTTTGTCATAAAAGTACATCTCTGTTTCTTTCACTGGAGCAAATCTCAACTCAAAGCAGCGAGGATTCATAAACATGCTTTTCTTCTAAACAAAAGCAAACTCATCTATGAAGGAGCTGGTAGATGAGAAACATTAGACGCGTCTTTTAATTTGCATGTGCCAAACAGACGGCCGTCCGCTCGGCCGTGTGACTCGTGCGCTCTGAACGGCGGTGACATCCGGAGTCGCACAGCCAAAGCATGTTTCTTTTCACTTCACAGATTAGTAGAACAAGCTGGCAACTTGTGCCGCATAATTTGCATGATATTATCACGTTTGGTGAGCCAGTTACAGACTTTGTTTTTGATTATAATGTTTGTCTACAGCTGATCTCTTTTGTTGGGGAGTTTAGGAGTGCATCAGTTCGTGGTTAATCACTGTGGCTGGGCTCTTTTCTAAGAAACACGTGACGGTCAGGATTTTTATACGTTCCTCTAGTCTACAGAGGGACATATAAAATACAAACTTCAAGATTACTATTATTGTATTGATCAAAGCATTTTAATATATAAACTTCCAAATTACATCAATCGGTTTCTCATGCAAAATTAACAGATTGCCGCACTTTTCCGCGCTAATGTAAAGATGTGAATTTATTGTAAATTCACATCTTGTTGTGAATTTACACAACAATGCCTACATGTGGATGGCAGCGCGTTTCTTCTGCTGTCTCAACCTAACTTGATGTCAAGTTATAGTTTGTGATCGATATGTCTGGTTAAAAAAAATAATAATAATTTCTTGTAAATATTTCTAAATTAGCTCCACAAGATCTGCGATTTATGATTGTAAAAAGAAATAAATTACTAAAACAATCACAAAGGAAAAGATGTTCAATATTTTTTATTTTAAAGCGACAGTATGATGTGTTTACCAGGTATATTGAACCATTTTATAGCATTCTTAACTATATTGCCTTCATTTGTTAAAGTGCTGCATTGACTTGTGAATTAGCGCCTTGGGTCTTTGACTCTTTGAAAACTTCTGCTCTGTGATGATGCAAAGCTCCTGCGTCAAGGAGCTTCGTCCTCGAAGGCAGAGCCAGGTCCAACTCTGTTTTTCACGAACGAATCAAGGCAACACTCCAGCAATGTTTTTGAAGAGAGAATGAAATAGCATGATGTAAAGCTCAAAAACGTTGATTTTTACATGATACTGCCCCTTTAAGAAGTACTTATTGAACAGCTATTTATTAATATTGAAGCAGTTTAATGAGTTGTATCAATAAATTTTGCCGCAACCGTCTCTTTGACAAGAGTCATGATCTTGATGTGACCCAAAATGAAAGGACATGCCTGTTCCGAGGGAAATGAGTGAAACTATGTGGAATTTCATATGACTGACAAAATGTCCCTCTGCTTCTTTCTTTTGTTTGTTTTTGCTGTTGATCCATGTAACAGGATAAGAGGAAACACAGAGGTCCCAGCACCAAAACCACACCGAAGTCCAGGGAATTCATCGAAACGGATTCCTCCTCCTCCTCGTCGGAATGCCAGTCGGACGGCGAGGAAGCCACCAAGATCCCGTCTCTGCCAGCCCAGACGACGCGCTCGTCCATCAGCGCCCAGATGCTGGCCAACGCGCACAGCCACGCGCCTCTGCTCCCGTGCCTTGGCTCTGCCGCAGGGGCGGGAAGTCTGGGCGTGTTCACCGGAACTGGACTCCGAGTCAAAGACGGCGGTGGTGTCGGCAACGGCAACCTGTTGAGCATTGGCAACATAGGTGCTTCCTTTGGGAACTCTGTTCCAGATCCCGGAGGGTCCGGAGGGCAGGGGAAGGATGCGGAGCCTCCTTCACCACCGTCAAATGCGGGACACGACGCGCCCCTGTCCCCTCTGAGGGAATATCACCAGGTTCAGAGTTTGTGGGTGAAAATCGACTTGAGCTTCCTGAGCAAAGTGCCGGGGCAGACGGCAGGGGAAAGAGCCAGGATTGTAGTTGTAGAACGGGAAGGGTACGCGGGGAGGGACAGGGAGAGGCAGAAGCTGATGAAAGGGGAGAGACAAGAAGAAGAAAATGAGCGTTTAGTGAAGGACAAAGAAAGGCAAGGAGAGAGGGAGAGGCAGGCGGAGAGAGACGACCGGGAGAGGTTTGGATTTGGGGAAAGGGAGAGGACTGTGGCGAGGGACCGAGAGAAGATTAGTCAGGGTATGGGGGTACTGGATAACCCCGCTGGGCAGGAGCAGGGCAATCCCAGGCTGGCTGGGCGGACGGAGAGACTGGAGAGCGGAGGTAAACACAGGAGGCTGGCGGCCGCAAACATGTTGGCTCCCTCAGAAAAACACACCAGCAAGAGCAAGAGGAAACACAAGGTGCCGACACGGATTGAACTACGGCCATGTTAATCCCCAAATCGTTCAGTCGTTTCTCAGCTAACCCTCTCTGTCCTCTGTTCTCAGTTGGACCACGGAGAAACGTCGCTCAAGTGTAATAAGAAGCTGCGGCTGGACAAAGACTGCCTGCTCCTCCCACCATGCATCTCTCCAATACACAACCACAAGAGCAGCTCTGCAGAGTAAGTTCTGATGTGGGAACATCAGACATCAATCAATCAATCAATCAATCAGTTAGGAGAACCTATGTACTACTGCTGGTCCTCAGGTTTGGACTCCCGGCTTACAGACAAGCTGACATTTATTAGGGAAAATAATAACTCACACAAAAAACAAAACTGATGTAAAGCCATAAGGTGCGATGATTAAAAGTTAAGAGATGCTCATATTAACTACAATAACTGACATTTATAAATAAAAATTGTGGTAAATATCAAGTAGATAAATGCGAATTCAGACACAAACAAGTAGTGGTCAAATAAACTCTGCAAATCTACACTACAGTACATGGGGACAATAAGTCAAACGGAGTCGATTTTGACAAGCAATGTTTATTTCCATCTTGTTGGTGTTTATTTCTGGAGGAAGATGGTCATGTGGGTTTTGTTTGGTCACCATGACGGTAAATTAGCACCAGATTGTCTGTGTTTAAATGAAGCAGAGAAGTAATATCAATGTAATATCTGTGTTGTTTCACAGTTTAGAAAGGGCAGGGAAATGTATCCAATGTATAGAATATATGTGACATAGGTAATTATTGGTTAGCAGTCATAACACAAATGTTAACATTGGTATGTCAGTCATGATAACAGATCTTACTGGATGATAAATTGTCCCAGAAGTTATTGAGATAAATGATAATATGGTTATTTGACACCATTTTCAAGTAATATAATGGAAATGACAAACAATGCAAGAACAGGTTCTCACAGATGAATAAACTTTAAATTGTACTGAACATTTAACACATTTAAATATCAGAGAGTATTATGTCGTTTCTAAAGCACCAGAAGACTTTTAACAACCAGTTAGTTAGCTGGTAAAGAGGACAAAGAGAAAAACAATAAATCATGCAAATTAAAATCATTTTAATGTATCATGTGATTGATTAATTACATGTTACATGCCTAAACATCGGATATCAATATCTGCCCAAATTTCTGTGCATCTCTGATTCTATACTCTGTTGTACTAAACCAGTACTTCTTGCCACGTTCAGTTGGATGAGAACAACATTCAGGTTTGTTTTGTGTTCTTTTGGACTTCACTTTTACTTCCCTCTAAAAAACAAAACAAAAAACAACCCAAGTTTCTCTTCGTACTTTAGCCCCTGCCGCCTGGGTTCCCTCATTCTGAGATCAGGTCCTCGGCTCCTTGTTTCAACTCCTCTTGTGGTGTAAAGAGGCTTCACCACAGATGACACCTTCTGTCATAGGTGTCATCTGTGGCGTGTTAGCGATTCGTGTGAACTGGAAGACAGCGCTTTCGGTCTGGTCCCCGTGCAGAGCGAGCCGTCCCCAGGGGAGCGGCAGGCAGAGAGGTTATCCGATGACTTTAATGCTGAGCGGGTCTTTTTGGCAGCGCTTCATATTTCTCACCGCCCCAATGAAGCTGCCACACAAGGCGACTTTCATTCACAATGTGACACAGGAATGACAAAGCGTGAATTTCAGCTCTCTGTGTGAATTATTTAAAAACAGACTAGGCTGCCTGTCGCTGTAAATAAGCTCCTGTGTGACAGCTACAGAGGAAATATTTTTATAGCATCTGGGGCGTCTTAAAGAGGCGCGGGGGAGGAGGATGGGTGACCGGGGGTTGAACCTGTGACACTGTGTGATTGTCACCTCGCTCTGTTTATCATCCGGGAAGCTTTTCGGTGGAAAGCTGCGAACAGGGCGATGAGATCATCAGGCTCAGTCAGCAGCTTCCTGGGACGTTTGGCAGGTGTTTCCCTGGCTGGACTGATCACTCTGATGCTCAGGAAGGACTCAGATCTACCTCAGGAAAACATTGCCGTACGGTTTTACAACTGAAGATGAACTGTGAATACACCAAAAGTGAAACACGTTTTCCTCCTCGGTTTCACACTTAAATGGTTCAGATGATCTCCTTTCCAAGTCAGAATGCATGGAGCAGTTAAATAGTTAGCTTTATAAATTTTACCGTGATCAATTGCATATTGGTATTTTTTTTACGTGTGAAAGTTCCTAGTGGAACCTTTGTATTTGCACGTTTCTGGTACGCCCGTAAATGTGACGTACAGACGTCATCCACTAACAGTGGACAACAAGGCTGCTGCTCTTGGCCTATTAGGGGATACTTTTTTAGAAATTATCTCAGACCGTGGGAAACACTGCCGATGTGTTCAAGTTGTGCTAAAAGGAGTTAGCCTAGGTGATCATTTGCTAATATGGTTAGCATCTCAATGCTAGCCATGTAGCATTAGCTAGTGATATAAACCACACTCTTTTTGAGCAAGTTTCATCCTGCAGCTTATTGTACGTGGAAATATTTTTCAAGAAAAATATTTGGATTTGTGACACTATAGTTGCTTTGCCATAGAGTCACAACCATACAGTTTTAAACATCATATAGATTTTTCTTTTTATAAGGATCTGTAGCTTTGTCACAATCGTACCACAACATATTGCGATAAAATTTTAAGTCCATCTTGCCCAGCCGTCCTGTAAGCTTTCAGTGTGTCGGCCTCTGCTAGGAAGCTTCTCTTTGCCTACTTCAGGTTGTCAGACGGGGCCAGTTTAAGCAGTTTCTTCGTTTTTAAGTCTTAAAATCATCAGCCTGGGTGTGGTGAATAAAACTGACTAGTCAGTTAATTATATATGAATTATATTCTCACTTAAGGCAGCGTTGGTTTGAACCTCCCCACACTCGCCCATATATAAAAATGAAGCAGCTTTATCTCTTCGTATTAGATTTGTCTCAGTGTTTGGAACAAAAGAGCAATAAAAGAGCTTGTTGATCATAAAGCCATATATTACTGTGAGTATATAACTCAACAAGATATACAGAGAAAAAAAAAAATCCTGTTAGGGAGGAGAAAACTTAACACCTTACGCATGCAAATTAGTAGATCCAAAACACACATCAGTTTTGCTGCACGCAGGCACAAAGGCATACACACATGCTCAAATAACCCCACACACACTCTCTCTCTCTCTACTGCAAGTAATTAGTCTTTGTCTGCCTTATTTTGTATATCATCTCTAATGTCGGTGCCTGGGGCCCTGTTCTGTGAGCTCAGCAACTTTCTCGCTGCATCAAACCCCCCAGAGTTTCCAGGGAGAGGAAAAACATAAAAATATTATCACTTGTGTTGCAAACAATATGAGTCACCGGAGCTCCAACGAGGCGGGCGAGGGAATAATAAGGAATGTGCAGCAAGGGGAGGAAAAGTACAGTTTTAGAAGCCGTGAAATGGTTTTCCAAATGTGATATTTAAATCTCTTGATGACTTCGATTGATCCAGTGAGGAGAAGTTGGACTGATGATGATCAGTTTTGTCTGGTTGTTTTAAGCTCCTCCAGGAATTTTTCCACTCAGGGTTTTCTCCTCAAGGTTCGTTTAATATGCTGCTGTTCCACTCTCTGTCCCCCAAACAGCATTTGCTTCTGGCTATACACAGCCTTGACAAACCCACAGGCAAAGCTGAAAAATATGTAAAGAAACATCGACATAGATGTTTTTTTTCTCACTCGTCAGTAATTGCTACATAAAATAATTATGCTAATTATTTTAGCATAATTTGTGTCTCATGTCTTAGTGCTTTCAGTCTGTTTCTTGTTAGAAACTTTTCAGTTTCATGTTAAACTTCACCATCACATGATGTATTCAATTTTTCACTCTTGGTTGAAATGGATTTGGGGTGTCAAATTTTTTACACTCATAAAACTTTTTTTTACTTTTTTTCAGTATATAAACACAAGTGACCAGTAATAAGAACGTATGAATTCATCTTCGTCGTCTTGTTGTTGCCGTTCAGCGGCTCTCTGAACAGGAAGCAGACCCGGCGGCGTGACGACAAGCTGCTGCCCCCGCTGCTGTCGCCGCTGTCCGACGAGCCGCCCCGTAAGCGGGCCTGCGACGGCGGCCCCTCCCTCGCCGAGGAGGCCGGTGCGGTGGGGATGCTGCCCTGCTCGGCGTCCTCTGCCACCGCCGCCGCTCCGTCGCACAGACACCGACGGGGCGAAGGGAAAGCAACGGCGCACAGTAGAAACGGCGGGGTAAGTGTTCCCCTGTAGGTCAGCGAATATGAAATGGCCTGGATTTATTCACAACCTGGTAATGCAGGACCTGTAGGTTTAATGGCACACTCAGAGGGCAGTAACGTGGCTGTGCCGTTAAAACTAAGTGGAAGGACAAGGGCAGCGTTTAAGTGGCCAGCTAATTGTCATGCAGATTTTTATTGTTGAAACTATGAATATCAATGGCCTCTCCACCTCAGGACATGGACGCCCACTGCGATAAACCTGGCGGAGATGGTTACCATGCCAACGGCCACTCGGACTCCGAGGTGTGGTCCGAGGTGATGATGGACCAGTCCGACCCGCGAAGACCGAGACTGTCGTTCACCGACACGTGAGTAGACGCTCACGCAAATATGAGAGTTCAGCAACATGCCGGCACATTAGCTGCTCTCCTGTGAAGACAGTTTCATCTGGAAAACTGAGGCAGAGCGGAACACTGTCTGCTTTGGTTTGCCATGTGCAGAGCCTTTCTGCTCATGTTTCCAGTGCAAACATCCTGGTACACTCAAAATAAGACAAAACCTACAAGTAACGTTTCATCGATATATAGGAGCTTAAGTCAATAATTCAGTAATATTGATAATAAATTACTAGTTTCACTTGATTTGTAACATTGGAAACTAGACCAAAAATACTTGGCAAGATTTTGTGTGTTTTTATGCAGTGGAGCTCTTGGATTTTTTTTCTCATTATGTCACTTTGAAACCACAAACTGCAATTTAATTTATTGGAATTTTATAAAACAGACATAAAGCAGCACATTTTAGACCCCTGAACATTAATCCACCTAAATAAAACCCAGAGCTACAAGTTGCTCTCAGATTTACCCTGGCTGCCCACTGGTGTACAAGATAAAACCAGTTGTTCTGTGAAGACCTCAGGAGTTTGTGGCAGAGTTTTTGAAAGAAAAACACAAGTCAGGAGGAAAGTTGGGCAACATCCTGATGAACATCTCATTCAATTCAACACATCTTAAACCGTCCCCACTATTAGGTAAAGACACATTTTTCATTGAAAAGGCTCACTGTCGCCCTGGGATCTACAACATGTGGCGCTTTGGAGATGATCAACCATCATCCCAAGCTGTGACTCAATGTCGATACACAATGTGGTAAAATCAATACTTAAGTTTCAAATTATGAAATTTTAATTTTTGTTTGTAATGTGTTCTACCAACAAAGATACAATTTTTGGATTTTCTTTCATCAGATCATTTTGTTTTATTTTGGAAAAAAAATGCACACAAACTTGTTCTGCTATCCTGTTGTTTCTATTTATCTTAGGATGTTATTAATGTACCTTCCAGACATAATTCAAATTTCTCTCTAAAGTTTCAACAATATAATTCAAAGGAAAAACCACAAAAACATCTAAATGTTTAAAGTTTGATGTATCAATCTAAAACAATAAAAAGTATTGGCCAGTATTGTCATCAATCCTGGCCATGAAAATATTAGGTATTGGATCAAAACCAAAATATCGTCACACTTAAACCATTTTTTGCCAAAAGGATTTTTTTTTTGTTTATTTTTTGCCTAAATCAATTTTCGCAACAAAAGGACGTGATATTTTTGTCAACATCACTTTTGGTAAAGCATTGTTTAGGTCATTATTTTAGGGAAGTGACATTGTACCGTTTCGTACTCCTGCTAGTTAGACCAAACAAGAGCCAGAATATGGCCTGTTATCATGAAGCAGCGTTAACTACATCTACGCTAGTCCAGTTCTGTTAAATCTGGACAGATGATACATCTCCGTACTTATTTTCTTGCCTCTGCATTATTCATGGAGCGTGTTTTGCTGTCGTTCTAAGGTTACACCGAGCCTGAGGTGTGTGTACACAAGCAGGCTTCTGTGGAGCCGGTGATTATGTAAATCACTCCATCATTCTGGAGGATTCGAGCCTTTCTGTTTGGATACTGGTCTGTGCAGACACGAGTTGTGTTCTTGTTTTCGTTGTTTTCCAGAGTCCACAGTGCAGAGTACTACATGCAGGAAGCAAAGAGGCTGAAGCACAAGGCCGATGCTTTGGTAAGATGTTGAACGGCTTCACGCTTTGCTGAAAATCAATCAGGGAATGATCCACAATCGGGCTCAGACAGTGTTAGATGGGTTTCAAAGTACACCGCGTTTAGTATACTGTAATCATATACAGGCTTTCAGTCTCTGCACAATGCAAATCTATTTAGCATCGAGGCCTGCACGCTATAATTTGTGTTATTTATTACAGCGTTTGTCTCCAAGGGGGGGGTTGTGCTCAAAGAGTGATGATGTCTGCAGGATTAAACAATATCAAAAGAATTATCGGATCCTCCCAAAACAATGAAGTCAGATTTATTGAACTTGTTATTTATGCTACGTGTATGCATCTTTTCCTCAGATTTATCGGGGGATTTGCATCTTAGGGGGAGATTATTCAAAGCTCGTTCCGGCTCTTGCCTCTTCTGTCTTCTCCGTCATTTCATCTCTGTCACCTTCCTCCGCCGTGTTCTGCAGACGGACAAATTTGGGAAAGCGGTGAACTACGCAGACGGCGCCCTCTCCTTCATAGAGTGTGGGAACGCCATGGAGCGAGATCCACTGGAGGCCAAATCGCCGTACACCATGTACTCAGAGACGGTGGAGCTCATCAGGTACGGTTCAACGACAGAAAGAAGCCAACGGGAATCAGGCAACATTTGACTTTTACTAGAACTGCACAACATTCACAGCAACATCAATATTTGAAAGACTGCAAGCACAAATGCCTCTTTGGGCCCAGGAGTTAAAGAGATTTTATCTTTAAAGTCCAATCTTTGGCTAATTGGATGGACTTTATTCTCCATTCCTTTTATTGGGATTCACTTCGTTTTATGGTTTATTTGTGTATAATTAGTTCACCGGTCTTTAAAAAACCTTATCTGATAATACCGAATGAATTGTCTGAAAAGTTGCAAAATTTAACACGGTCGCTAAGATGGCAACACTATGGTAATTATTGCTAACTTGGCGACATACAATGGCTGACTTCTGGACGATTTACAAGAACTCGTCTGTTTACCTGAAACATTTGGACATTGTTTGTAGTTTCTAATGCAATAAGCAGGAAATAAAATGAAATACTGCTGTAGTGTCCAGTAGTGCAGTTACGATCTATATTTTTTTGTATTGCAAAATAAATACATATAATTCATAGCAACAAGTGATCTTTTCCTACCTGATGAAATGGCTCCTGTGGCCGTGTAAATTTGCATCCATTCCTCCACAAATGGCAAATTAAAGCAATGCCCTTTTAATGAGCACTAATTTAGCATGCATGCCTACATGCAACCAGCTGGACTCTTCAGATCAGAGTCTTTTTTGTTATGTTCCAGCCCTTCACACACCTACAAGGTGGCTAATCTCTGTAAATTAGCCAGATCTCAGGGTTTGCTCCTTTGAGCTCTGCCAGCTTGCGAAGCCAGCGAGTGCAACTCAGAGAGAGCAAACGGTGAATAATAAATGAGTGGCTCGGTCTGAGAGGCTCAGGGCCGTGAAGAGGGAGACGGCCATTTAGCTTGAGAGCTGGGGTTCAAGATCCGCTCATCTGCACTCATCCGTCGCGCTGAAGTGTCCTCGAGCAAGACACAGAGTCGCTGGGAGGAGCAGATCGGTGGTTTCACCTTTGGCTGCTCTTTAAGGAGGATGATTGTGGAAATGATGAGAATTTGTCTTCAACGATCAGTAAAGAGCAAAGAAGTTACTTCTTCGATGTCTTTTTCAGATGAAAAGTTGTGTTTTTGCTTGATGTTTGCTACAAATGATTCTGGAAAAACTCTTCTCAGTTTTGTGTTTCTGAACTTCCCTGAAATGAATCTGTGACCAGCAGAGGAGTGACGAGCTTCTCTTTCCTGCAGGTACGCCATGAGGTTGAAGAACTTCACCAGCCACTCAGCCACCGTCTTGGAGAAGAGGCTAGCTGTTCTGTGGTACAATCCTTCTCTTCAAGTCATTTTTTATCACTTTTCAAACAAGCACACAGGCAGTGTGATGAACATGCACCATAAGTGCCTGTTTAAGTAAATTCAGCACGTTTTAGGTTCATATTTAGATTATTTTTGCCGCCATCTAGTGGTCGCAGTTCTCTCAAATCATGACTGTTGGTCATTTGCATAACATATACTTGAATTTGACTAAATTAGAGTCTAAGAGCAAAAAACAAATATTTTATTCTGCAATTTATTCAGTAAACACTCCAAGAAATTAGTGGGGGGTTTTACCCCCACCTTTGATGGCTTATCCTCTTCTTGCCAAGAGAATACCACAGGGTGAAAGGTCACATTTTTATCCTGACTTAAGATGTTTTTCTTTACAGGATTAAGGTCTTAGCTCTGAGTTAACCTTGCAGGAAGGTTAATTTTATGTGTCGTGAGCCATATAGATATTGATCAGACCTCATGTTTTAGGCTAATTATCCTGCTTAAACACCTAAAGATAACCCATCAGTTTCCTGTTGCATCTGCAGTTTTCATTTTGCCTCGAGTTTCTCCTGGGCTTTGGAAGAGAAACGATCCCAAAGCATCACAGGTTCTCCACTGTACTTAGCAGGAGGCGGGAGCTGCTTTTACATGAATCAGCCTGTTTTGTTTTTACAACAAAAGTGTTAATTGCTGAGATGAACATGTCTGACCAAAGTGAACAGCACCAGTAATAGTCAGCACCAGTAATAGTCAGGAAAGCAGTTGGAATACTGAAGAAACACCCAGTGTTACGAGAGCCGCTTCACAAATCAAACTGAAATATGATATAGAAACAAATGTGCATATATATATAAAAGATACAAAAAATAACATTATGGCAATCAATGTGCTGCTTTGTACCTTTAATTTACCGGCAATCGCCCTTGTCAGCCAAAAGCTAAAATATTTATCTTGATGTTTTGTTGTATTTATCGTAATAAAGATGAAAGTCACAATTAAAAGCTTTTTGTATTGGCATTTTATTTTTGGTCTGTGATGCTCTAACTGCATCAACATGCCAACATCAGTACAGCTCTAAGTCGTGCTTACCCTTTAACAAAGAGGTTTCCTTACACAGAAGTAGTGAAATAGCACCTCTAAACAGAAACGTTTAAATATTTAGACATTAATTGATGCGTTCATGAAACCAAATAGAGGAAGGAAACAAAGTAACAATCAAACCAGTCAGTCAGTTTTGGAGGTTTGAAAATTTTCTTATAATGCCCTGTATTTGTGATTGAACAAAAACCATCCAGCATAATCTAATGGTTGTAGTGTGTTGACTGTTTGACCCCAAGGTCAAGTTTGACCTTGGGTTTCTTGTTTTGCTATGAGAAATAAACCTCTGCGTCACGTCATATAATGCAGTAGGGAAACAATGACAAGCTGTGAGTTTCTAATTCAAGTTCCCAGACCTGAACTTCAAACTGATGAATCTGTTAAAAGCAATCATGTCTCTGCAAAAACACAACATGTTTCTTAGTATTTTTATTTTGTCTATTTTCTAGTGCAAATATCTTGATGCAATAAGACAGAACAAACTTACAAGCAACAAAGACAAACTAGCGTCCGAGTTAATCGTACGTTTACACATTTTTAAATGATTAGACTAGCAGAAAGTTTGAATGGAGGCGTCTGTACTGGCAACTCATCCGCCTCCCAACGTTTGTGTTCCCATAGCAACCGCTGTCTGTCTCTGCTGTATCTGAGGATGTTCCATCTGAAGAAAGACCACGCTGTCAAGTACTCGCGCTCGCTCATGGAGTACTTCAAGGTATCAACTCAACACACACAATTGGACACAGAGTTGATTTCCTTCCCCGTCTCTCATCGTCTGCCTCCATGACAGACCGAGCGAAGCCGACCGCACACACACACACACACGCACACACACACTCACACCCACACACACACACACACACACACACACACGCACACACACACTCACACTCACACACGCACACACACACGCACACACACACACACACACACACACACGTCTCAGATCCATTTCCACGCTGCCTGTGCATTAATTTTTCATGCCGTTGTGAAATTCCGTTCCTTTTTCTTTTAATATTAACACATTAATTAGCTCCATCCATCATGGCAGTGGATTGTTGCGGTTTAATGTGCTTGTTTTGATTAATTGCATTTAGTTGAATTAATTACTGAGGATGTCATTAACACAGCTCTGCGTTTCACACTGATGGGATTGGATTTCTGGGAAGGGACTGACGGGGCGCTCAGTGGCGCAGCCTGTTTACATACAGGGACGTGTTGACAGAGCGCTTCACTCTGCAGAACAACAGAGCAGATCCGTAACTCGTTTAGCCGGCTAATGGTTCTCAGAAGTTGCAGTTCCAAGACGTCAGGAAATGAGAGCTGAAATACAGAATGTCGATGTTTCCAAACATATTCTGCTTACAGAATATTTTACATGTTGAAACTGGGAAAACGTTCTTTCACTGCAAAAAAAAAAATCTTACCAATTCTTGGTCTAATTACTAATATAAATATGTTGGTGCATTTCAAATAAGACCAAACTAATTTAGAAGCAAATTTTCAGCAAGACATTGGAGCTTATTGTAAGTAAATAATGAATTGATATTGATTCAAAAGTATTAGTTCCATTGGCAGATTATTTTATTTAATATATTTTTTCCATGTTATAAACAAAACAATCTCCCACTGGAACTCACTTTCTCATAAATATTAAGGAATTATTGACTTAAACTTATTTAGCTTGCAGAAAAGTTCATTATAAGTTAGTATTGTTTTATTTCAAGTGATATTTTCAATGGAAATTTAACCAAAAATACTTGGTAATATTTTGTGTTTTTTGCAGTGTTGTCTTTTAAACGTGATCCTCAAACAAACTTTATCTGACACAGAAAAACTTTTCTATATATATAAAAAACATGTTTTTGTGTTTCCATACAGCTTTTTTTGTTTTGTAGTTTTGACTTGGGTACTTTGATGTTTGATGGATGTGCAGCTACTGTCTCTGGGTGAACCAGCTGTTTGTCTTTGTTTCGTTTTTAAGAGTCCAACTTGAGTTTTTCCCACTGCTGCTCAGCTGTAAACAACTTCCAATAATAAAATTGTCTCTGTTGTTTTTGGGGTTTTTTTGTCTTCCAGAATTCGGCGAAGAGTTCCCATCAGGCCCCGTCGCCTTGGAGGAGCAATGGAAAGTGAGTAACCACGCGCACCGACGGGCCTCCGCCCCGCTCCGGTTCACCTCCATAATTGAGAATTTCTAATTCAGCGGCGCTCTGCTGCGGCTTCCCGAACCGGCCCGTGACAGCCACTTGCTCAAACAAACCCCTCAGGAAGCAAATAAAGGGATTGATTTGTTGTAGATGTGAGAAAGAGAGGACCGGAGGGGCCGCCGAGCGCCCGGCGAGGAGGAGTGATGGAGGCAGCGATGATGGATGGAGGAGGAGAGGCGTGGAAGAGTCGCGGATGTGAAACTAATGAGTTTGGACAGCTCTGATGCTGCGCAGCAGCAGGACCGGAGCTGGCTCTCTCTCTCTGTGTGTGTATGCGCGTGTGTGTGTGTGTGTATGCGCGTGTGTGTGTGTGTGAGGGGGTGGAGGTGCTGAGTTGGACACAGTTGTGGGTCAGTGCAGGTCAAGGCCGCATCACAGACATTACATCACTGCCACAGACCCGCTGCCTGCTGCGCTACACAGGAGGAGCCGATTGTACCGACATGTTTGTGTTTACTGAGGCTGCCACCTACTTCTTCTTCTTCTGTTGGGTTAGGGTGCATTCACACCTGCCCTGGTCAGTACGGTGGCCCTGAAGTACAAACCACTTCAACTAATCACTAAACACAACTACAAATTGAAAAACATAACATTTTCAAAAACATGTTAGCTAAGCACAACTACAAGCTAAGAAGACACAACGACTTTAGGTCTCAGTGGGAAACACAAGACTTCACCGCTTTTGGTTTTAGTTCTGAAAGTTTTCCTGGCTTTAGCTCATTTGTTGAAAATTTGTTACCGAGATAAATGTAGTTAACATATACAAGAATAATTTGAGTAAGGACAAACTACAGAGCTCAGCTTTTCTATGACTAGCCAAACAGAGCAAATGCCTGAAGAACTGGTGGAGGTCTAAGGTCAAAAGTGGAATCATCCACTCAAACGATTCTTAATTTGTAGTTGTGCTTAATTAATGTCCTTGTGTTTGTAAATATGTTGTGCTTTTTAGTTTATAGTTGTATGTAGCAGTTTGTTGACGTGGTTTACATTCAGCTGGAGTTTAGTTAGCTTTAATCAAACTCCAGTTCGTTTGTTTTCAAAGTTCAGTTCATTTGTGTAATCAAACTCTGGTTTACCTACCAGCCCAGGTCTCAGTCAAGTCAAAGTGAACTTTGGCACAGTTTGAAAGTAAATGTGAACACCAAGTGGACCGCAGACCGCTCCAAAAGCAGGATTTAATTAGGGTTTAATTAGTTTGACAGTGCAGTGAAAGTGAACGACTCCAGCTGAAAATGTAACAAATGTTTCCACTTTGCTTCCCTGCAGACATATTTGATTGAAAAACATGACTCTGTTTGCCTCTCTGGAGAGGGTCCAGAATTTTCCACCACATAAAATAAAATGGGATCCATTTAAAGACAAAAAACAGAATATGTAATTGTCACACAGTGGAGAGTGAATGTGTTCAGGCAATATTTTCTGATAAACCTTTTCATTTCTCATAGTAAAACCCCAGAGGCTCCCAGTTGAGTTCCCATCATCCCGCTGAGATTCACCGCCTGTCTGTGTGTTTTCCAGAGTCAACGGGACGCCGTCTCCCCTCTCGCTCAGCCCGTCTCCAGCCAGCAGCGGAGGAGCGCCAGCAGCAGCAACGGGAGGGGGAGGGGCATCGGGGTCGTCCGGTAGCGTGGCGATCCCCCAGCGGATCCACCACATGGCCGCCAGCCACGTCAACATCACCAACAACATCCTGAGGAGCTACGAGCAATGGGAGACGGCCGACAGGCTGGCCGCCGACAGCAGAGGTGAGGAACGCGGCGGAGGAACGCGGCGGAGCAACGCAACGCTTCTGACATCCACAAATATTAAAATGTGACGAAACGCCAACAACACCTGACGCCAGCGGATAGTCAAACGTTTAGGTCGCATTCAGCAGCAGGAGAAATTCACAACTGAATAAGTTCAAGAACGGAATTCAGAAAAGTTTAGATTACAGGATTTAAAACTTTTACTACATTTCTCAGGAATGGCAACATTTGTGTCAATTTTATTAGGATTCTGTTTGTTTTTTAACTGATGCCAAAACTTATCAAAATTTCTGCTTAACTACTTGTATAATCCAACATTTATTACATGTATAATCCACTCATGTATTTGAAAGCTAACCCATTAGTATAGTGTCTATTTAGTTTTAACTACAGTTTGTAAATGTAACGTGGCAGGGTTTGGAGACACTGTTCTCTTGGTTGTGGCGATGTGCAGCAGTAACCTGCTCTCTCCCTGCTGCAGACTTCTTCCAGGACCTGGACTCGGCGATGGGGGGGGCTCTGAGCCAGCAGAGCAGCATGGTGGAGCTGGTGCGCTACATCAGGCAGGGACTGCACTGGCTGCGCTCTGAGGCACAGCTGCTCTAGAGACTGGAGCAAAGCAACGGGAACTAGAGCTGACATGAGACCCATCCCACTGCGAACCCCTCAAACCACACACACACACACACACACACACACACACAAACACACAGACCAAGGATGATAACTGGGCCCAAATCCCCCTGCAGTGATCCAGGTGAAATACCTGAGGAGACGCAGAACACGCCCAAACCCTCCGTTAAGAAAACCAACAGAAAGAAGCTGAAAGTTTTTTTTGTTTTTTTTTTAAGACGGATCATTTTCTGGACGATAAGTGAGCGTCTGATGTGATTAAGGCGGCTAAATGTGGCCAGAGAGCTGAGCGAGGAGCAGCAAGGTGTCAGTGATTAGGTCTGGATCTAAAGCCTCAGGCTGATATCGATCCGGCTGGAGGAGAAGCCGTCCAATCCATCAGATAAGGACCAGAGCGGTGAGGGGAAAGAGGCTGACCTATGACCCCCACACACACACTCCCTGAGGCAGAATCAAAGCAGGCCTGACTCAGTACCTCGACTGGAGCCGAAACCTGCCACCGTTGAGTCCAGACGGTTCTAATTGGATTTGTATTACATTGGAGTTAAACACAGATATTAAAATATTTAAAGTGAAAACTCCAATTATTCCAAAGTACATTTTAGCACTTATGGGACATGTGTCAAACTCGCGGCCTGAGGGCCAAATCCGAGTCTTTTATGTGGCCCTCCAGACTGCAGAGGTGATCACAACCTTTAACAAAAAGTTCTCAAATATTCATCAGTCAAATCATTATCAAAGCAGTTTTTCTGCATACTGCCAAATTGCATCAATCAGTCCGTCCAGGTTTTTGTGACGCCATGAAAATTCACAAGTTTGTTACAAATTTTACCCAAAACGTTGAAAAACTTTAGGTTTAATAGACTAACTCCGAGCTGCAGGTGGCAGTATTTCTAACTTTTACTACACTGCTGCCTCAAATTTACGTGACATCAAGTTACAAGCCACATGGTGAATAAAGAAAAAAAATACCATCAGATATAAACTAAAATATTTTGAAATTAGCTCAGATTTTGAGAGTAAAAAAATCACAAACAATTTCAGAATCTTGGATGAAGAGTGAATAGGTGTTCAATATGGTTACATTTTAAGAACTTATTGAACACAGAGACAGTTGTTAATTAATATTTTTAACAATTAACAGGTATTATCAGTTCGTTGTGGCATGGTTCTGTGAGAACATTCATGACCTTGATGCGCTCCAAAATGAAAATAGGTTTCACCTCCCTGATTACAAATCGTAGTTGCATCAGAAAATGAAGGAAGTAAGTGACACTGTCTCTTTAATTACAGCTGCTGGCCTAATGCAGTAACATCTCAGATTGGAAATCTGAAATAAAAGTGGAGGTTCCTCTGATGACATCACGTCAGGCACAGAGCAACTGATCAGTTATGAAGTTTTCTTACTGCTGTTTTTTTCTTATTCTGATATTTTTAATTGGAAACGCCACCATTGCCAAAGTCAGCTTTTTGAACTTTAGCAGAATATCAACAAAGTTTTCTACACTTTTGTAATGGAAAAGCATCAAAGAAGCCAAACCACTTGCACATTACGTACTTCATAATTCACGTCCAAATGTGTTAACCACTTCTTTGCCGTAACGTTAGCACTAAGACAAAACTGATTATTGTGCCTTTTGTGATGTCATCACAAAAGGCACAAAAATAAACAAAAATAAACAAAAAGTTAAATTAGCAGAGGTTTATTCTTCAGTGCCCTTTTTAAAAATTGTGCATTTTGTGAAATTCTAACTTAATTGCCTGATTGTAGTTTTGTTTCTCTGTATTTAAAAAAAAATTGCACAGGGTGGTTAATGTTGTGTTACCTGGAAACAGAAGGAAGAACAGACAAAACGGCACAATACAGACGCTACGAAATGAAACAAGCTTTCTGGTGAAACAAGGTGTAAAATGTGATGTACGTCACTGCTGCTGGAATTTAAGTTGCACTTTTTTTAGCTGTAGCTGCAGGATTTACTCGCATTATTGATCAAGACAGTAGCATATGATATTTGTCATGACACAAGTGGATACTGAGATGTATAGCCTTTCAGCCTGTTGGTCATAAAGGGCCAACAGTGTCATTTATTTCCAGGGGCCTCAAAAACAAAACTAATGCCTTCCATTTGCCTTGTTATCATGGCATAAAGCTACACCAAAACCCAATTCTTAAATTAAGGCCAGAAATATTCAATATTTTATCAATGCACCTTAAATATAGCTCATATGAGTAGTAAACAGCTTGGCTAACTTAAGAGCGAGCTAACCTTTGCTAGCTGGGAACTAAGCCTAGCTTAGTTCTCATAGCTAAGCTTAGCTGGTTGCTAAGCTTAGCCTCTTAGCTCATTCAGAGCTAAGAGGCTAGCTGCCTTGTCAAACAAGTTGGTCCTGGGTAAAAAAAATTAAGTTTATGGAGTAAACGCCACCAAAACAAGTTTCCTCTTCATTAGCTCACTTACTGTTTCTGATTATGCTAAGCCTAGCTAGCTGCTAACAAACGGCTAACGTAACTAGCTGCCTTGTTTATAAGTCACAGGAGCTGCTTCAGAGTAGAAAACGAAGGTTAGGGAGTAAACAAAACAGGCTCCCTGTTTACTTCTCCTCTGAACGAGGGCTTCTTCCATCAAACACAACAACGGGTCTTTTGCCGGTCGTGGGCTTTTTGTGAAATTTCTGCTCGGTTCTAGTTCCCATAGTAACCCACCCACTAAGGTGTCAAACACTTACAAAAAGGGGGAGAAAAAAAACCCCAAAACTACTCGACATGTAATGATTAGGTTCCAATTAAGCCCCCCACCCTCCCACATGCAGAGCGGGTGAAGGAGGAAGATCTCCCGTCTGCTCCTCTTCTTCCCCCCCACCGATGTCAAAGTGAATCTGCGACGTTGTACAGCACTAGATGAGGTCAGATCATCTGCTGGATCCTCTTCTAGACGTTTCCCAACATTCGTCGTGTTGTTGTTGTTGGTGTGTATACGTGTACAGCTGATTGTCAAGTCTATCTAAATCGTTGCTGAACAATAATGATGTTTGTGTAACATACTGTACAGATTGTGACACCTAGAAGCTGTGTACTTGGGTGTTTGTTATTTTTTAGTGTCTTGAGTCAATGTGAAAGAATGGAGAGGAGCGTGGGTTGTGTGTGTGTGTGTGTGTGTGTGTGTGTGTGTGTGTCCGTCCGTGCACAGGCTATGGCTGAAGTGATTTTTAACCCTTTGTGGTACATTCAAAAGATGAGTCCCCACTGTTTCTGTTGCTCATTGTGCTACAAAAGCTTAAAATCAGCTCTCTCCCCCTCGTACACTTTCTGTAAATCCAGCACATCCAGCATGAGTTTCATAAGTTCTGGATCATTTCACCATGGCTGAATGTGTGTGACAGGACGACGTGGATGTGGGAAGTAATTTTCACTTTAACATGGAAAAAAAGAAAGAAACTCAAGTGCCTCTATTTGTGTCCAGTTGGAATTGCTCTATTTATTTAAAAAAACAAAGAATGAATCTAAATAATTTTCCATACCATATTGGTATAAATATGAATTTTTTTTCTTTGTGTTTTTTTGTATAATCAGATGTCTCCATAAGCTTTTTTACTGGCGTTATGACGCCAGGGGTTTGGCTTTAAGATGAAAAAATAAAAGCGTGTGATTAAACGTGTTGAATTAGCATCCGTTGCTGTATCCTGATTTCTTGATGATTTGATGAAGTTTCAGTTTTGTCTGAAATGCCTGAAACTTTGAAAATCATTGCATGCAATAAATGGTAGCCTCAGACCAACAATTGCTTGTGTTCATTTGGAGGAAGACGAAAAGAAAAAGCGTCGTGTTTTGTGTTGCGTAGTTCACTGGACGTGAGAATGTTTTACGTGGCCTGGAGCTAGCTGCTTTAAATGTGCATTACTAATGGTGGCTGTTTGGACGTTCAAGAACCTAAAACGCTTAAAAAGGCACAGTAATGTTATTTCTACCAACAACGGCATTCTGTCCTCCCAGCGGTTTTTTTCTTGATGCCTCAACAAGTAAAAATGTTTTTCATCTGCTGCCTGTTGAGTGACTGGTTTCAGGGTCAATGGCGGAAAGTGTCATTTTGTCAACATTTGGCCAGCATCTAAACTTCTCATGTGGCATGAAAAGTCCCAAAGTCTAAAAGGCAACAGGAATGTTTTTCAAATCAGAGTCCAGTTTGTCATTTGGTCCGTTTGATTTATTATTATTTATTCTTTAGTGAATCTTCTGATAATGAAGGAATCCGTTTTTTCTTTTCACAAGGTTGTTTATGTTTATTATTGAGATTTATTTTCCAAATCAAACTAATTTCTGTATTTGTAAATGAACAAAAACTTCAACTTCAGCCTGGACACGACTGATCTAGAGCAGCACGAATAGAAATAGGCGAGTATTTTTTCAGTGTAAGGTTTATATAAAAGCTTTTCAAGATTGTAAATGACATTTTCTGCTCAAAGTCATTTAATCGTGAAATTACGAGTTCTCAGACAATAAGACATATTTCTATCAGACATCATATTATCAAAAACATGATCGTGATATATTTTTTTTCCATTTCATGTTGTCTATCCGGGGGACTCAGATTTAGAACAAGTTGACCAACTTTGCATTGGGTCTTGAAGGGAGCATCACATCCATTTAGCGTTTTGAAACACAGCACAACTGGTAAATATTGGACTGAAGCAGCAAATCATTTTTATGCGACGCAATATGACTTCATCTAATACGTTTTGGAATCAGACTTGCTCAGCTTGCCCTGTTATACTGCTGGCATCTCATTAAGGATCTCATTAGTTCTTGTTGCATTATCACAGTTGTCAACAAATTTATGAAAGACAGTGGTAAGAAGGAAACATTATTTGTGTAACAATTACAATGGGAAGTTTAATGTGTGTTGCTAGCAGATGGTGTCAAGTCAATAATGCTCTGATCATCTCTCCAGCAGTGACAACTTTTCACTGATTGTAGTTTGCATTTCATTAAGTCCCAGATCAAGCTTATTATTTCTAGAAATAACCCCCAGAGAGGATAAACAGTGTTGTGCTTTTATACACATTCAAATGTTTGACTGTGATGAAAAGTCAGCTGATACGTGGAGGCATCCATTTTGATGTTGGGAGTATAAATTGGCAAAGGGTTGAAATGACCTTTAACCCCTGGGAGCAGCTGAACCGCTGATTTAGCATCTACTATATCACAGCTCAACTCTGATGAAACCAGAAATGTAGTTTGAACATTTGTATGCCTAATTTTTACCCCTAATAAAGCCTGCATCCCCGTTTTGCACCCATATGTTGAAAACCTGATACGATTTGTGGATAAATTCAATAATTGCTCAGATTTAATACAAAGTAGTTTTGCGATTTTCTGAAAATTTAACATTGCATCTAATTTCTGTTCATCTCTGCTCTGATCCCTTTTTGGACTATTCAACAGATAAAACCAAAAATAATTGTAAGGAACCCATCTCTAATATTTAAAGGGGTCATGAAACCTCTTTTCCACGCAATAGGCAAACCTGTCATTACCCCAAACCGTCGGGTGGTCATAAAGAATCGCTCTGTGCCTAATCGCATCTTTTCCGTCCTCAAACAGCATGAAATCCAAATAAGACAAACGAAAACAACGCTGTGAAACGGCAGAGCAGCTAAATGACCAACACTCTTGAATAAATGTTTTTATTAACCTAGCTAACAGCTAGGTCTGTTGTTTACCTGCAAAGTGCAGCTAGTTCTTAGCTAGCTCAGCAAAGCTCGCTAAAAGCAAATAGTATGGAATCTCAAAGAAAACAAACAAATGCACAAAATGGTAAAGTAGCTAAATGACCAGCACCATTCAGTAAATGTAGCTTGTTGATTAGCTGCCTGTTGTTCACCTAGCTCTGAGCTAGTTGAGCAAAGCTAGCTCTCTCATTACTCCAGGCCTTCTCGTCTCCAGGCCTTCTCTATCTTTTTGTCACAGAAGTAAATAACTTGTCTCTTATTATTGTTGTGGAAGTTGATTCTCACAAATCCTACATTTGAATTGCAACCAAATTAAGCTAGTTTTAGCTAATTGCTGCATGTAGCATATTTCTGCTCACCTAGCCGACAGCTAAAACCGACCCCGTTTTTAAAAAAAAAAAAAGATTTTTATTTGAGTGAAATTAATTTGCAACTCCCCATTTCAAAATATGGCGGCTTTAGATTTCAAAATGTTAAAACGTGACTTTGAAAATGTGAGACTTCTGGCTAATGTTGCTAGAATGGCATTTGCCCGTCTTCCAGTCCGTGGCCATTTATTGCAAAGTACAACAGTTTCATGTCTGAATTAATGCACTGAAATCCCAGACAGTGACTCTGAAAGCGGCTCCAACTCTTCATGTCGCTGTGATCATGGATTTATATCCTGCTCAACTTGAAGGCTCCGGTGCAGCCACTAGTGGTTTTGCAGCAGCAGCAGCAGCCTGGTGACTCTGATCTGGTCTGGGAGCGGATCCGACCAGAACCACTGGCTGAGCAGATCAAAGATCAGTGCAGGTCGCGGCCGAGGTCACGTCAATCCAACGCCGGTTTGTGTCGTATCCTTCGAAACGTGTCGCACAATCCTCCACTGTTTTCTTTCTTTTTTCTACCAGTGCTATCTTTTGGGCCTTTTTTTCTATGGTTCTTTTTTTACAATGAAGTTGTTCTATGTGATGAAGACGATGACGACGACGATGATCAAAAAGTTGTGATGCAGTTCCGTTGTTTTTAAATATTTAATGTATCTGAAATATGGATTAAAACCTGTTTGAACCAGTGATCCCGCTGCTGTCTTTCACTGAGCTCTTCAGATGCATGTCGTGTTGTTTTTGGGAGACGTATGATAGTCTTAGAGGAATATTTTATGAAAGGACTTCAAAAAAAAAAACACGCTTGCATGTTCTAATTTCTCTGATTTAACAATCAGTGAGATTCTTCCGTGAATTAGCCTGAGAGGTTTTTATGTACACAGGAGCCGATCCAGTCGTCTGACTGCCGCTAATGAACTCGTATTTCCACATCACAGTAACTATTAGACTACTTCACCATGCATGATTAATTCACTGAATAAAGTTTCACATTAAAATTTGTGAGAGAGAGGGAGAGAGAGAGCAGAGGAAAGAGAAAAGAAAGGAAGAGATGACGGCCTGGTTAAAGTGAAATTTAAGCTGCTTTGAGGGACATGAATATGTTTTAATGAAACATTTTATGTTTCATCAAAGTGAGACGGCGCAGTCTGCAGAAAACAAAATCCTCTTTTCAAATCTAAAAGCCGACGCGATCAAGCAGAAACCAGATCTGAAAAGTGTGGCGCGCATTTGAGTTCAGCCTCGGCGCTTTTGAGCTCCGCCTTTCGCAGAGGCGTGTGGTTCCGGTTCTGGACCAGGCAGCAACTGAAGAGGGGAGGAGGCTCGTCTGCACGGAGGCTGCAGACGCACCAAGCTCAGCTTGTAGCCAAGAGCTCAGCTTGTAGCCAAGAGCTCAGCTTGTAGCCAAGAGCTCAGCTTGTAGCCAAGTCGGGGCCATTTTGAAAAGAGAAGCGAGCAAAAGTGCATTTCCGCCGCAGAAGACATTTTGAGGATCAAAATGATAAAAACAAACAAGCAAAAAACAGGAAACTTTGTGAGTTTCAACATTTGAAAGATGTTTGACATAGAAAATCTCAAAACTTTATTTTTTTTTTTTTTTACTTTTCAAACAGAAATTTAAAATTTTTTCTAAAAAAAAATTTGGAAAATTAAAAAAACATTATAAATGACTTAAAATTTCTGGGTGTTTTCTTCTAAAATTTCCAAGTTTTTTTTTCTTGCAGCTTCTGGAGCTCAGACATGTTCAACGTTGTTGGTTTTTTCCCCCAGAAAATTTCTTGCTTGCAAATTGTCACTTTTATAAGCCCGTACGACTCCTGGTGTTTTTTCTAATAACATTTTTTTCAGATGTTTTGGCTGAAAGTTTCTCCTTTTCCCCCCCCATCTACCTAATATTCCTTCTCCCTCCTTAAATAAAGAGATTCCTTAAAAAGAAATGACCTGTCACGGCTCTGACAAAATTCGGGGCTCGTTTGATGGAAGTGAACGAAACGACAACGGCGTTCATCGCAAGGAGAGGATTTAACGCAGGAGAACCTGAGGACTGGGTGGGAAACATCACAGTTACCTGGATGTAACCTCAGCACCGAGCCGAGCCGAACCGAGCCGAGCCGAACCGAGCCGAGCCGAGCCGAGCCGAGCTGAGCCGAGCGTCGCTGCTGGAGTTCAGCACCACTGAGCTCCTGAACTCGCTCGTCTGGATTAGACTGAATTTATTCTGTGTGATGTTCCTCGGCTAATCGAGCCGCAGCGCCGGGACCCGCCGCTCTGATCGACTGCTGCAGCCCAGAAACACAGAAAAGAAAGAAAGAGAGAGAAAAAGAAAAAAACCTTATCAAACATTTACAAGTTATATTCTTACAGACTTGGTGAGTGAGAAACTCCACTCTGAGCCTGTAAATGAAAAGCTTGTTAGACTTGGTGTAAAAAAGAAAGAAAGAAAAAAAAAAGAGAAGAGCTCTGCAAACAAACCAGTCGTAATTCTGACCTTGAGGAGTCGGTTTTCTATGTCCATATTTATTATGCAACTGTGGGTAGAATATCTTTTGATGAATAGTTAAGATAGGGGAAAGCTGCTGCATTTATATTTCAAGAGCCATCTGTTAAAAAGTGAGAGGATAAAGTTTAAAGCTGGAAATGAAGACCAGGAACTACGAACAGCGATCTTTCATCTGAATGTATAAGAAAAGAAGAACTGAAGGAATGTGTTCCAGCATACAGAAATACACACGCCTGTAACCGGCAGAGATCAAAGACTGCGACGTCACGAAAACATCACCAATCTCTGCTTCTTTACACCTCGAGAGAAAGATTTCAATCTTTTGAGACGCCGACGATTGCGGCTCACAGACAATGAAAACACAACTTATTGTCTCAGGAAATCTGAATAGTGTGGAACGGATAGAAAGTTAGGTGGAAGGAAAAAAGTGCACCAGGCACTGGGATAACCGCAGCCATGAGAGGTTGAGTCACTCAGTATGACAGACATGATGGATATGTAGGTTTTTGAAGATCCGATCTGACTGGCTGATTTCTGACTGAGCCAGTTTCACGCTGCCCTGTAGGAGGAAACGCGTCCCGTCATCTCGAGCTGCAGCTGGTTGGGTTTTTTAAGCCTTGTTTGCACGTTGCTGGGCCTTTATGATCACCAAGATCTCTGCTGCATCATTCAATCATATCACAAGTTAACAAGGAGAAACGGCGACATGACAATCATGAGGCAGCAGTTTCTTTAGACGGCAGGTTAGAGAAACAACTTTACCTTCTTTAGTCGATGAAGCCTTTATTCAGGCCATCAATGTCAAGTTCCAACAGTCCAAGATCTTATTTATCTGTCTTTCAACAAGTTGCTGGTCCCGCCTCACTGTAAATGACCGCGCCTCACATTAGGGGAGTTCTGGTTTGGAAACCTCGCCGGTTCCGGCCACAAGCATCCAATTCGAACTGTTGGAGAGCAAAACTGAAGAGTGGACACACGAAATGGGAGGAAGCGATTCAAATATTCAGGGACAAATACAGGAAGTTGGCCGTAGTGGGACTGATTCCTTCATATTTATTCACAGCGCTGCTCTCAGTGACTCTGAGAGGGAATCGTCGCTCTGCAAATGTTTCAACTGAGGAATATTTGAAATATTTTGAGCTTTAAAACCTGATGTTTTTCCCTCGAATATGATGCATGTTTCTCAAACACCACTTGGACGTTTGCATCCATGGTAACCATGGCACAGCTCCATGGCAACCATGAAGCTGTGCCAAACGCCTGGGTGGACCTAGCTCCGCCTACAATGCACAACTCCTCCTCCCAGCGCCAAGCTTCTGCCTCCCCTTTGAGGCCTCCACTCTGCTCCTTCAGACTAGCCAGAAGAAATTAGCAAACATCTGGTGAAACTGCACATCGGCTGAGCTCATTACAGAAGCTGCTGCTCAGAGAAACGCTGGTGAAAACATTGTTAAAGGGCTAATAGGGGAGCCGTGACGACTTCCTGACGTTTTTAAAGAGACAGAAGCCTAATTTCAACTGTTAAATTAGGAGGTGAAAAAAAATGTAATAAATGATGGCAATTGTTACATGATTGTTTGATAAAATGACACCATGAATCTGGAAAAGTCAGGATACTGGCCCTTTAATTTATGAAGCCGTTCACTTTTTCTATTTTGCAGAGAACGTTAGGAGATTTTTAATCTCAGTGGGATTTTCCTGCTGAACTAAAGACCATTAATAATAATAAAAATAATAAGTGCAGATTCCCCTCATCGGGGGGCAACAATGTCCTGGTCACACGTGTGAAATCCTCCTTCATGTTCACCTGAACAGCAGGACAGAAGGTTGAGTGTGTTTATGAAAGTTTCTCTACTGAACAGCGCCGACCGCATCGACCAAGAGCAACTTCCACATGAAATTTAATGATTAGCTGACCGGTCCATTCCTCCAACCACGAAGAAGAAGAACAAGAAGAAGAAAAACTTAAATGAATCCACTTCTTTAAGTCCTTGGGAGGCTGTTTACCATTCCTGGATTTATCCCCACGCCATAAACACACACACACACACACACACACCTACACACACACACACACACTGTCTCTAATGTGACTGTATGTCGCCACCCTTAACAGAAAGTCAGTGTGACCTGCCGAAGCCCACAGCATCACTGCAGTGATGTAATTACCAGAGTATAAAACATGATGACAGATGATGAGCAGGAGACGACGGAGCGGATCAGAGAGCGGGCATGATGGAGTGAAGAGGAGGAGGAGGAGGGAAGGTGGACGGAGGGATGGAGAGAGGACAGCAGGTGAGCGGTAATGTAATTGCAATTAGATCAATTCGATTGGGGTCAGAGGTCGGCGCTTGCGATGATAAATATTGATCCGATGGAAGCAGCGGAGCAGAAATACAAGCTGAGCAGAGCGGAGAGGAGCTGCAGCTGCACCGAGCACACCCACACACACATACACACACCCACACACACATACACACACACACACACCCACACACACATACACACACACACACCCATACACACACACACACACCCACCCACCCACACACACCCACCCACCCACCCACCCACACACATACACACACATACACACACACACACACACACACACACACACACATACACACACACACACCCACACCCACACACACACACACACACACACCGCTGTAACCTCATTAGCGATATTTATTGATGAAATTACATTTGATGGCATATTGGAAGTTGTTTTTTTTCAAACTAACTTTTCACCAGGTATTAAACTGGACATGCAGCTGAAGGACATTTTTAATTCCTAATGTTCTCAAACGCACCTTCACTCATAGAGCAATAACAGGATAATTAATAACAGGATAATTTAACAGAAGTCAAGTGTTAAAGAGAAGCTGCAAAGCTTTGTAGGAGTCATTTACTGGTAACTGAAATGATTAATTAGTTGTAGATTTTATGACTGTATCAACATTTTGTATTAATAATTTTTACCTGACGTATATTTGAATGATCTCTAGAGTTTGGACCCCAGCTAGCAGGGATCCTTACAATAAACAGTGTTCATCAAGCCCATGTTTCTGTCCTAAAAAATGTTTTTACTGCATGTAGACCTTCCTGCTCCAACTGCATCCCAAAGGAAGAAATAAAAACATTCGGACAGCAGGAAACGATGCCTGTTAGTTTGAAATTTCAAACCTCAGAACTACAGTTTTAAACGGACAAGATGAGCCAAAAGCCTGAGACACTCGGAGGCAAAAGGAATCTAAAAATCTAGAGAAAAAAGACAAACTGAAAATGGTATTTGGAAGTAGTGAAACTGGCAGGGAATAAATATAGTGCTGCCATGTTTTTTTTTTTTCTTCATCTTTAACACGTACTTCATTTCAGGCAAATGGTTCTGCCTCAGCGCCAGGAGATTTTAAAAAGGCGTGAGACGAGACTCACACCATCATTTCAGATGAAATTACAATGTTTTTAATAGTTGGTTATAAAAAGAAAAAAACTGCCAGTTCCAGGAACTGGGTTTTTTTTTCCCTTCCCAGAGTCTCTAACACAAACAAACATGTTTGAGGCGTTAAATAAGAAATCAAAATATAAAACCACACTAAAGTACTTCAGGGTTTTGGTTTTGGCCCGTCAGAACCCGACCTGTGATCCAGGATTCACTCGGATCCCGCTCAGTGAAGCCGGTGCTGCAGACAGTAAATCCTCTTCATTCATCATCAGACCCCAAATTAAAGCTGAAATTGCTTTTCTTCTAAATGGCCCCGGCGCAAAACCTGCAGCAGTAAAAACGCAGCTACACTCCGTTTCATTTGCATTGTGGTTTTACGGCGGTGGCTTTTCGCTCGGTTCATTCCAGGTCCTGAATTAAGTCTGAACCAAGTGTGGGGCTTTTTTTTTTCTCCTCTTTTTCTAAGGAGGGAGGGAAAACAGCCGTAAGAGAAAGTGAAAATGTCAAAGTGTGTGGCGACACTACAGGATGTGCAAGTCGCACTCGGCTGTTGTGGCAGAAAGCAAAAGACTTCATTTAAAAAGTTACCTGAGGAGATCTGGTTGCTACTGAAAGAAAAAAAAAACTGGATTTTTTTCCTGAGGGAAATTTCTTTAAATCTGGAATCTTTCATGAGGCAACAACGTCAAGACCCGTTTGTCACCGAAGTGCACTGGTTCCTGGTTCAACAGCTTAATAAGAGAAGTAACCAGAACCAGTCAACTAAAAACAATTGGTACTGGGAGTCTACTGGGTCACCATTACGTTCATCTCCGTCTTTCTCCATGATGTTGACCCAAAACCAAAGCTGTGTTTCCATTGACCACATAACTAAGCACATTTTAACACGGAGCTCCTGCCACATGTGAAGTTAATGGCAAGTATCCAATCCACTTCTGCTTTAATTGGTAATCCCACTACCTTTGTTTAGTTTTCCATTTTAATGGTCGTGGATAGAGAAGTCAATTTGCATGTGTCCCATAAAGTAGTTGATTGTTCAAGGCGGTTTGTGCAGCAGCTGTAAATACCCAGCAGTTTGTCACAAGATGAAACATGTCGGCATGTCAAGATGTCAGCATCCAGGGTGATGGAGGCAGAGGAAAGTGTTTAGCCGCTCAACCTTAGCCAGCTAAGAAAAGTGGTTGACATCAACTAACTCCCTTAGTCAGTTGCCTAGCAACCACCTGCTGAGAAACTGGCGCAGCAGCAGTTTTATGTTTTGGCATCATGCTTCAAAACTGCTTAAATAAAAATAAAAATAAAAACAATAATTGTGTGGCATAAAAAAAAAAACATGGCTAAATTAAAAAGGTCACACGGCCACTTTGGCAGTTTATCAGATTTTAAAAATACCCTGATCAATAAATCATATGAAACCTTTACATCGATGCATCCAGACCTGATTGAATCTTTATGAAAAAAGTGATTTTGTGGAATAATTACTTTGTGCTTTAACAACATCAACCAAACTAATAAAGTCCATCAAACTGAAAAATACTGCAAGACTTTACTATATTTTTATATATGCACAGTGTTTATTTCTTTCAGGCAGCCATATTCCCTTTGAGCTCGAGTCCATCTGTTGTGTTTAACGCTCGTCACACCGTCCCTGTGTTTGTCTTCAGTCCTGCTGTGAGGTAATGGAGCTGGAGCCTCATTCTTGTCCACAGACTCGTGTCCTGAAAAATAAGTAGAGTAAATAAGTACAATTCAGAGAAAAAAATAAAAAAAATGTTTGTTAGTGGAGCCATTAAAACATACAGGAGGAAGGCTGGCCAGCTTCATCAGCATACTGTGGTCCAGGTCGTCGTGGATGTGACCGTAGATGTTGTCGTCCTGCCTGGGGTCGGTTCCCAACATGTACAGCTCTCCTCCATGAACATCCGACGTGTTCTCCTGGATTGAGAGACGAATGAGCGATAAAGAAACATAAGCCACTTTTTGACACGGGATATGTCTGAGATGCACAAGATGGATGGCTCCATCGTGCTGAACTCCCCAGGCAGAACCGAACCCGTTTAGAAGAGAAGTCGAGATAGGAGAAAGACCTGGATGAGACACACCCACCTTGAAGGTTCTGGGATCAAAGCCAAGCCACAAGGTGAATCTGTAGTCCCAGTTCCTCATCGAGTAACCCATCACCTTGATGTCTTTGAGATCAGGGAGGTCAGAGTTGCTCTGAAAGAAGAATTTAGAGCAATGAAGTGTTTTGTTTCTTAATCTGAGGACATTTCTCTGCACAGTTGTTGCATCTGCAGCTCTGGAAAGAACTGAGGAGGCAGCCCAGGTCCAGAGAGGGTAAAGGTCAGGATCACAACTATACTGCCACTGTTGTGATAATTATTTATTTTGAACTAATCCCAATACATACATTTAAACACATACACACAGAAAAATGTTATGCAAACATTTTAGCAGATCCCACCACTTTACAGTATTTTTCTATTTCATACTTTATACTATTTTTCAATATACCCTCATATCAAAATACATGCGACAGTATATATCAACATAGAAAATAATTTTACACCATTTAGTGTAAAATAATTTCTCTCTATATATACATCTGTCTATATCTATTGATATACTAATAGTATATTTAACTGAATCAATAATGTCCCATATTTTAATGTTTCTGTATGTCCTTGATGTTCCATATAACCATTTAAATAATGCGTTGTACATTTTTTGGAATGCTTTTATAGTTTTACAACATTTAAGTTCTTAGCTAAATTGTTTCACAAAGTCACTCCAGAGGTGGATGTGCACATGGAACACGATTTCCTTAAATAATGGTGATTTACATCATTAAACTGCACACAGTAATGACATCTAATCATACTTTCAATGTCCTGATATTTACTGATGCTCTTATGAAACAAGCTATAGAAAAAATAAAATAACATTTCAGACAATACTGTTAGTTTTGTTTCCTCTGCATCATCATTAATGGAGATTTATCGAGACAAAAAAAACAGGAATTTTTTTACGATTAATTATGAGCAATACAATAACTGTCCACCTTTAATAAAAGGCTCAAGCTGATAACCAAGTTTTTTTTTATTTTTTTTTTAGATTAATTATAATTTCACCGCCACGGTGAAACTTTACGACTCGTTCTGTAAATGCCCTCCTACCTGCGGGGTGTCAGCGGGACGAGGGTACTGGCTGAAAGCCATGAGATCAGGGATCTTCCCTCGTTCCGTCTCGTTGAAAGTGTCGGCCAGGTTCCTTCCTGCGGCGCACAAATCCAACTGGAACGGGACAGGAAGGGAGTAAACACTCTGGCTGTAGCAATAACTGATTTTGCTGGACAATAAAAAGTCCCACTAATTATTGTGATAAACCATGATGTTTTTGAGTCTACTTTACAGTAATATCTTAATAACAGCATAATAAAGCTTCATCTCAAGGACCAATAAACTTTAATTTAGTGAATACTTTACACTGGACCTGTAAAATATTTTATGCAGATATATAAAAAAATTAAATGGAAATAAAAAACACACACAACCAAAGCCATGAATAAAATGTGGATGTTTGAACCACAACGGTGTGTTTTCCAGATTATCTGTCAGGACTTTATTTTCATTTATTAAAATTGTTCAATAGCTGGAAATAAAAGCCATTTTTCAGACCGATTCCCAAAATATCTGGAAAACATATTTTTACTCTCATGGTCTTAAAAGTGAGACAGTCCAAAACAATTCGGCCTAAATGCAAAACCTATCGCAACCGTTAGCATGAACCTAGCATGAAATTTCAAATTATCATGCTAATATTACTAGCGCAGGAAAAAGTAGAACTCAACTGTTTAAAAATAAATAAAAAACTGTTTTGAATCTACTAGGCGTTTTAAAATAACGTCATTTCTGCTTCATGGTATGAATTAATTGAGCTGTGATCAGGCAGGGTTGGGTTAAAGTAGCCTTTCTTTAGAAAGGAGACATCGTTTCCATAAAATTGACATTGCAATATTTCAAATCAGAACAAGGTTGGGGACTTTTTGAAAACAAACTATATTGCAGATGTTCCATGTCAGTAAGAACGCTGTACATCACTGGTTTTGGCACAGGAAAAGCCACCCGTTACCTTCAAAAAAAATTCAGAACATTTCCTTCTCTGTAACAAGAAATGTGTATTAATGACTCATTTATGCTCAACATTTAACTGCCTGCTATACGTGACTGATAAGTTACAATCCAGATGAACCTAAAATAATCTGTTGTGGAATATTTTGGCTTAAAATTGGCTCCATCTCCAATCTGAGCTATTAAATCTATAGTATGAAACCTCAAATCTAATACCTGGATACTCTGAGCTCATCTTGTGTTGGATGAATTTACTTATTTGAGTTTTTAATACCTTGAAAGAAACTTCAGGGCATTCCTTAATGGCTGGGAGGCCGGCCATGTAAGTAACTGTGGGAAAAATATCCACCAGCTCCGCCGTGTTCCGGATTACTCTGGCATCTGACAGCACAAAAAATAAAATTTAAGAAGTCATATAGTTGGAGTTTTAACCAACCACAGCCAGCAAAGACAGCGAAGGTACCCCAAAAACGTGTTTCACTTAATGTACTTACATTTCATCACTATTGCACCACTTTTACTTTGAGAAAAAGAAAACTATCCTTAGGCAAAATATGTAAGAGTATCCACGTCTAAATACGTTTCTTTCAAGCTCCCTGTGTACATTGAAGACTTCATTAAAAGTTTAATGGCTGCATTAGAAATGTTTTAACAAGCTTTATGAGAGCACTTAAAAACCCACAAGTTTTCTGTTTAAATATGCACTAAGGCTGTAGAAAGCAGAGACTTTTATGGCATTGAAAAGGTTTCGCCGGTAGAGGGTTCTTACTTGTGAAGTTGTACACAGACTTGTACTCTGGTTGGGTTAAAACGTCAATAAAGGGGAAAGTAGACTCTTCTGGGTAGCTGTCGAAGGCCGTGACCCCAGGGACAAACATGATGAGGGGAACGCGCGTCACCACGTCAAAATTGGAGTATTTCGCCCACTCGCCATGTTCGCCTAACGACCAACCTGTTTTAAGAAAGGGAGGGGGCTTAGGTGATCAAAAACACTTGATGTGGCAGAGATGAAGATAAAGCAACAGCACAAATAAAAGCATGGGATTACATTTGTACAAGTTTTTCCACCACTTAAATAATGTTCACATAATTTAGCTTTGACAGAAAATAAGACAACAGCTGTTAAAGATGGGAAGTAATGCAAACAAAAAGCTACAGTTTTATATGATTTCTGATGTCACAACACTGCCATCTGGTGGTCTAAAGGAACTAAAGCAAGTCATTCTTGAGTGGAACATCTTAAGTGTACAGGGAAGAAACGTTTTACTGACACCGCTTATGAAGATTTGCAGAAGATCTTAAAATAAATTTATTTCATTGTTGTAGCATATCCTCACAGAAAATCCAGCTTTATTTTAAATCTCCCATGACTTCCTGTTAAATAAATGCAACTAAAGCACATTCTGTTATTTATTACCTGTCAACAGTCTCTGGGGACTTTAAATAGTAAATCAATGAGCTTATTTTTACCTGAGGTTCAAACGCAACATGTCGACACCTTTAGGAGGCAATCGTTTCTCAATAGCGGAGAGCCCAGACCCTCTGGTCGAAGTGAAGGGCACCACAAGGTTCTGGTTTATACCATCCTAGTTCCAAAACTGAATCACATGAGTAAATTTCCTCTTCACCATGCCGTAAAGTTTGGCAAAGGCCTTTTAACAAGGTTTTCATTGTATGCAGGTGTGTTTGGAGGAGGATGGCATCTAAAACCTGTAGGATAGCAGATGTCCAGAAGACCCCTGATCTAAAGAGAAATATCCATAGTTCCCTTTCTTTGTCTGATCCAACCTTGTGAAAACTCACAGGTGAAGAATGGCTGCTGTAAAAGATTACTTTCACGGTTTCCACACACCTTCCTTCACTAAGGTGTACAAGTAAACCCAATACATCTGTATGAGAGAAACCATTTAAGCTCCAGATAATGAGAAAATAAAACATTTTTTTTATAAAAGTTTTCTAACCATGATCAGATGTGAAAACCACCATTGTGTTGTTGGTCAACCCGAGAGCATCCAGAGTGCTGAGAAGCCTCCCAACCTGAGCGTCCATGTAAGACACAGCGGCGTAGTAGTGCTGACGGATACGCAGCTGGAAGACATGGCAGAGCAACACTGTTGTATTTCCTCTTTAATGGAGGAGGAACATCATTAGAGGTTGAAAGGTTTTTTTGTTTTGTTTTGTTTTTTTTACCTGGAAGTCATTTGGAATTGGTCCGTATGGAAAGCTGACATTTAGTTTCTGAACGTCCTCCCTCTTCCTGACATCGGTCCAGGGGTTGTAGGCTACAGAGGGGAGGCGCTTGGGAACATCTGGGTCAGGGGCCAAAGTCATTTTATCTAAGGGGTAAAGGCTCAGGTACTCCTGTAACATCGAAGGGCATTCAAGAGTTAAATATGGATAAAACAACCACAAAGAGACAGTCTGTGTAAAGATAGGAATATCAACTACTTCCAATGTTTCCCATCAAATTCTTCGCTATTGCTAATCTAAAAATGAATACAACCAACACCTCTGAAAGGTTTTTGGAGACTTCTACATAAAACAAATGCTAAGGATTTTCAAGAATCAATGCTGTTAACTTCTGTCCAGTACCACTTGTTTTCTCGACGTTCCTTTTCTTTCCTCATTTGGACTCAGCAGTTATCCAAAAAGCTATTTTCCATGCTTCTCCTCTTTCTTTTTTTCCATAAGCCATTATTTCTTCCCATTTCCCCAACACCATTTACAAAGGCTTTGTGTCTGCTTTTGTCTAGGATTTGGGAGCATTTGTCCAAAACATACTTAAGCAAAACTGCCTCCTCTCACAGGACAATAACCTCCCCCCATGTCTCCCACTCAGCCGTACTTGTGCCAACAGCAGCAGGCTGCTCATTTAGGGGGACCGACTGAATTGTTTATAATGAATCCGATTCAGAGACTGAATCACTGTCCTTGTGCTGCGCTACACAAGACACGACCAGAGCGACGACTGCGGCCAGCAAAACGCAGCGAGATAGAAATATTGAGTATGATTGTCAACTTTATGAAGATTTAAAATGATCCTAGTTTATTAAAATTTTGATTTAATTGACTTGCAAAAAAAAAATTACATGAATGATAAATGCAGGCTGAGCTGATGCTGATCAGAACCACCTTTCACTTCAGTTACAGCTGAAAGACTCAAATTATCTTTAAATGTAGAGACTGAAATGCTTGATCATTTTTATGAAAACAACTCAAGTTCATCGATTCAGAGATGGAGCCAGGTCTGGACTTTGATTAGGCCACTTGGATGCATACATTTTTTCCACATGTAGTTCCAATCATTTTCTTATCCCTGATAAACTTTGACCCTGCTGAAGAAAAAGCATCCCCATAGCATAAAAAAATCCCAATACATAAAAATTTGTGGCTGCAAAGCAACAAGTATAAATAGGGATATGAAACATTGCATTACTAAACAAACCAAACTATCTGTAAGCTCTACTTTCACAGGCCAATTCAACACCAGATCACTTCCATTTTGATTTTAACTACACAGCTTTGCTGACTCAATGAGGATCAGACAGGACAAGTCAAATCTCCGATAAGAATCTGCATTCATCCAACATCTGACAATGCACAGCTAAAACGTTTAATTTGCCACAAACTGTCATTTTACACGATCCGTTGCATAAAACTAAATTCGCAAATGTTTCCATTTAGCATGTTAACACATCAGCCTCTCCCAGCTGCTCAACATGATCAAAATCAATAAGGGCAGCATGTGCGCATCAGAAGCTGCTCAATTAAAACCAATTCATCAGGAAGCTTGTGGACAGGTTGAGTCTGACTGATGAGGCATGTTTACATTGATGTTTTACAGAAGACGTGTGTAAATAAAAACTCATGTACCTGTGGGATCCTGAAAGGTATGTGCGGTTTGTGGAAGCCCACAGCCAGGAAGAAAGGCGCTCCGTCGCTGGCCCGGCTCTTCAGCAGCCTCACCGCTTCTTCTGTGCTCTCCAGGTCCGGCAGGGTTCCCCCAGGCTGCTCCGTCACGTTAACCGCGCACAGCAGGTTGGCGTGGAGCCGACCGTCCTCGCCTTTACACATCTAGAGGAGAGACAGTCAATCGCTTTCAGAGGTCATTTTGATCGTGTGTCCTCTTCCCGTCCACTCCAGGTCCAAGTCATTCAGTCACTGCCTGTCATGACTGACAAATTTTGCTGGGCGATAAATTGTGAAACAATAACATTTTGAGATCATTTTAAAGTAATGTCGATAATTTTGTAAAATGACAAGTTCATCTTCTCCAAGTCTAATAAACTACTTTCACATTGGAGTGAAAGATCTTTGAAATATTTAACAAGGTAATACAATAACAAATAGAAAAAAATTTGAAATTAGAAACTTCATAAAACCAAGGATAAATAAAATGCATTATGTAAACAAAGCTGCCCTTCAAGCAACAGAATGGAAATTATGGAGCTGAAGTTAATTAATTAATGCGACTAATTGATGACTTATTGTGACGGGCTTAGCTGGATAATATCTGGGTGTAAAGCAGTCGTACACTGTTCACCTGTTTGATACCCACATGTCATGACAACCATTTCAAAACACTTGTGCCTGCCTTTTAGTCTAGTTATTTTGCTCGTCTTATTTTAAACAACTCTCATAGAATTTACTTCTCAAAGCAAATATTTGCTTTTGCCAAAAGCAACGGAGCTACTCTTTCAGTTTTTAAATGTAAATGATGTGTTATGAACAGTGCAAGAGAAATATGATTTACAGCATTAGTGCAGGTACAAACATCCACTAGGCATACATTTTTGTTTTAAGCAGACAGCACCATTTTGTATCACAATAACACTTCATATTTTTTTACATTGTAGGTTAAAGCCATTCAAAGCACCTGTAGCAGACTCCAAGTTCCAGGAGTCTGCTACAGGTTCCTCACCATATGCGTGTTTTGAAATTACCACATTCAAGTCATCAGTACTGGAGTACCACAAGGTTGGGTAATTGTGTCCCCATCTAATCCAAATCCAATCTATTAACACTGAAGAGCCAAAAGTTTGAAAATGTGGTTAGATTGAAATAATAGTGAGGCTTAGTTTTGGGGTAATTGGATGGGGTATTACAACAATCTACTGCCACATGTTGACCCCAAGGACTATTGAGACAAACGTGGGAAATTCAGACTCCTGACTATGAGGAGCGGGGGAGGAAATGGGTTCAAAATGCTCTTGAGGCAGGTACACAATTATTCTTTGTCTGGACAAAATGTCTTCAGACTGAAGGCAAAATTTGTTGTGAAAACTGAGGATGAAATGAGGGGAAACGCAAATCTAGAAAAGAGGCAAACTGAACGACACCTGTGAGCTTTGAGAAAAGGAGGAAAGAAAACATGTGTGTTTAGTATTTACAGTCAAGAAAAATGTAAATACTAAATGCAAAAAATAAATCTGCATCTTCAGATGTCAGGCACCATCAGCGCTGAAATAGACTTACAGATTACAGTGTAGACGCTTTAGATTTGTTTTGGTAAACCAAGTTAACCTTTAGGTTTGTTTCGTCTTGTGCCTTTAGTAAACTACTGTGCAGAGCAATAGCCCTCACTGAGCTGCAGCCCTCGTCCTGCTTCAGCACTGACCGTCTCAGTCAACAGTAAGACGTTTCTTCAGTCGATCTTAAAATGTTGAGTTCGTCCAGGTTTGGGGAAACAAATACACAACACACATTGTATGACGGTGAATCATTTATTAAGCACAACTTTCCCAACAACTCAAAAACACTTTTACAAACATTCAGCTGCTTCTGTAGGTCAGTTTTCAGTTTTAGGTGAAACAGGTTTCATTGAGTTTTACTTTCACTGAGATCAAAAGTGAAACTGGGACTTTGAAGAGCCCAGTTTTGACCACTGGAGTTGATGGCCAGCAGTCTGCAAGCCTTTTCTGAATCATTTAGACAATATGGGAAGGGAGAAAAAACAATAAATAAAAGATACAAATGTTGGGAAGTCACAGAGAGGGCACAACCTATCTGCAATACCTCTGGAGGTAAATGGCTGTTCGTTTATGTCGTCTGTTAGAGGCCGGTGTAGGAGGAGGTGCGGCTGTAGGAGGAGGTGTGACTTTGGGAGGAGCTGACACTTTGGAGAGAGGAGGTGCAGCTTTGGGAAGAGGAGGTGCAGCTTTGGGAAGAGGAGCAACTTTGAGAAGAGGGGCAGCTGTAGAAAAAGGGGCAGCTGTTTGAAGAGTTGGGACTTTAAGAGGAGGTGCCGCTTTGTGAAGAGGCGCATCAAAAAGAGGAGGTGCTGCTTTGGGAAGAGCGGCATCAAGAAGAGGTGCAACATTAAGAGGTGCAACTGTTTGAAGAGGTGGGGCTTTCAGAGGAGGTGGCATTCTGGTAAGAGGTGCATCTAGAAGAGGAGGTGCAGCATTAGAAGGAGGCACCACTTTGGAAAGACCTACAACTGTATGAAGAGGTGTGGCTTTAGGAGGAGGTGCGGCTGCACTCGAAGGTGCAACTTTGGAAAGAGGTGCAATATTAGAAGGAGGTGCAGCTATGTGAAGTGGCGTGGCTCTAAGATGAGGTAGGGCTTTAAGAGGCGGTGCGGCTTTAAGCAGTGCAGCTGTAGAAGGAGGTGCTGCATTTGAAGGAGGTGCTGCATTTGGAGGAGGTGCAGCTAGATGAAGAATTGTGACTTTAGGAGGAGGTGCAGGTTTAGGAAGAAGAAGTGCAGTTGTAAAAGGAGGAACGACATTAAGAGGAGGTGCAGATGCATGAAGACGTGCCGCTTTAGGAGGTGTGGTCTTTGGGGGAGGTGCAGATTTAGAATGAGGTGCCACTTTGGGAAGAGGTGCTGCATTAACTATATGAAAGGGTGTGGATTTAAGAGGAGGCAGGGCTTCATGATGAGGCGCAGATTTAGGGTGAGGTACAAATTTGGGAAGAGGTGCAGCTGTAGAAGGAGGTGCTGCATTTGAGGGAGGTGCTGCATTTGAAGGAAGTTCAGCTATATGAAGAATTGTGACTTTAGGATGAAGCAATGCTGTAAAAGGAGGAGTGATTTTGGGAGGAGATGCAGCTTTATGAGGATAAGCAGATTTAAGATGAGGTGCTGCTTTGGGAAGAGGCGACACTGTAGGAGGAGGAGTGATTTTGAGAGGAGGTGCAGGTGTATGAGGATAAGCAGATTTAAGATGAGGTGCTGCTTTGGGAAGAGGCGACACTGTAGGAGGAGGAGTGATTTTGAGAGGAGGTGCAGCTTTAGAAGGAAGTGCTGGATTATGAGGATAAGCAGATTTAGGATGAGGTGCCGCTTTGGGAAGAGGTATAGCTATAGGGGGAGATGCTTCTTTGCGAAGCAATTCAAGTTCAGGTGGAGGTGTATCTTTGTGAAGAAGTGAAGATTTATGAAGTGGTGCAACTTTAGGAGGACGTGCAAATTTAAGAGGCAGTGAAGAAACTTTAAGGGTCTCTCTGAGATCACCTGAAGATTTAGATGGGAGTTGGTGGATAAGCAGGAACTGATTCTGTCTTTTTATCGCCTGGTCTACTTTGGCTGAAACTGAATGCTGTTTGCGTCTAGATACTTTTTGGTCTGGTTCTGTCAAAAGCAAAAACAGTCTGGTTAGTTCAGATGGATACATTTAGCCTGATGTTCTAGCTAAAGTTTGCTGATCGACTTTATAACTAACCCGCTTGTTTGATTTTCACTGGGATTCCAGACGCTCCATTTGCTAGGGCTGGAGGAAGAGGAGGCAGCGTCAATGACAGATATGGGCTCAGTGAAATGGAGGTGAGTTCCCTGGGAATGTGGGAGTCCATGGTGCTCAGTGAGTCCACAGACACAACCAAAGCGTTGGCGCTTGGCTTTCCGGTTCGGCCTTTAGTTTCAGTCCCCCCACAGGCCAGCGCCACCTGCTGACTCCCCAGAAGGAGCTTTATGTCCAAGAAGGGCTCATCCAGGGCTTTGTTGGGGCAGCTTATCCGCTTCCCATTTATAGGGGGAATGTGGCAGGTTTTCTTGACGCTCACTTGTCTCTGAGGGCATTCGGAGGACTTTGACTGGAAGGCCAGGACCTGAAGCGAGGGAGAGGGTTTCTGGCGGATGGAGCGGCCCAGTCTCCTCAGAACAGCGTTGTTCCTGGCCGTCACAGAGTCACATAGCTTCTCTATGCGCTCAAAGAGGGCAACAGTGTCGGCATACTGAACTTTCTCTATCGCCAGCATCCGGGAGTTGTAGCTGCAGTTGTCTGCTGTCTGCGAAACAAAGAGTTTTACCAAGCCAGCTCATGAAAATCACTTACAATTAATTTAAAATCATTCACAATACTATAAAATTGCTGAACTAGTTAAATGCAACTCTACATTCATGTATTTGCTGACAAAAAATATTTTAATTTGAAAAACCTCTTAAATTGTAAATTCTTGTAAACTAGGCAGTATTTACATTTCGTCTAAGATTTCATCAAATTACATCAGCCATCAAAATAATTTATATCTAAATAAAATATTCGTTAACAACAAAGTTTCAAATAGTGGTTATTGGTTACTTACATTACTGTGAATGCCAAGCCTCTCATTTCCATGACACTGCATGAAGGAGCTTGTTCTCTTGGGAGGAGCCATGAAGTTCGCAAAACCTTGACCAGATCGTCAATCGGGATAATTGCAGGGTGGCAAAAAGTGCAGTTTCTCTCAAAGGTTCACAGTTTCTGACTGAAAAGGAATTCTGCAGCCTGGGTTTTGGTTTGTGACACGTCGTCAGAATGTTATGCTGCTTGCAACATTCTGGTGATGCCATGGAGACGTGCAATTTAAATGTTCGCTCAGAGTTTTGGTCTCGCATGCCCTTTCATGACAAAAAAATGCCTGAATGGAACAAACAAAATCGTTTCATAAAGAATAATTGCAATACTAAATCCAGATGTTTGAACTTCTGGATGCAAAGTGCGGAAACACTTTGCATCTTAAATAGATAATATAGGTGCATCACAAGTATTGAGTCAGATAGACTCTCAGGATTTATTTAAATCAAATTACTCAAGAACTCCTGATATAAAGGAACTCCTTTATATCCAGTTTAACAACCTTTCACCTAATGGGAGCTGCAGTCAGTTTAGGGAAGATAAAGGACACAACAACACAACCTTGTGGTACACCTGTACAGATAATATGGATGTACAGAGGAAGTCAGAAGTCCACTGGAAGCTTCTGCAGGTAGGTGCAATCACACCTGCAGAAGCTTTCAGAGATTTGAGCAGACATTCAGAGATTTGTTTATAATGTCTGATTCTAGCTGGTCAAGTCAATGTTTTAGGATGGATGGTGAACTTTTTCAAGTTGGATGATTACAGACTAAATTAAAAAAACTCCACTGAGAAGGTCCTGAACATCACAGAAAACACTCATGGGCCGTTTCATCTGATGGTGATGTTTTTTTTTGTAAAAATGTACCACAGTCGTCTAGAATACGATTGCCTTTTCTTATACATAGCCATATAGTTCACATAGTCCATACCTCCAGGATAGAGTTATTCAATCTTTGGCAAGTGGCTTATCTCAGAGAACATGCTACTTTGATTTTGTTGATTTTAGAAGCTCAAAAATCAACAAAACAAAATTAAAAAGATGGAAGACAAACAACTCATACCAACAGTCAGTCAGTAATTGAGGACTGGTTATATTTCTTTAGAACCATGGTACTTTGGAGTTATGGAGTCAACCATAAAGTCCTCTGTTGGGCATAGTATGTAGAGACAAATGCGAAACCATGCGACAGAGATTAATGTGAATTGAAATGGAACAATGGTCCCAAACAGCAGAAAGTCTGACAGCATGGCTGAGTCTCAATTCCTCCACAATGATGATAAATATTGAGAGACACACAAAGGACCAGAACATCAACTTATACAAATTAAATCCACATGAAATTGGGTATATTTTGATTCCAATTTTGTCTCAAGGAAACCTACTAACACATGTTTAATTTCTAAATCACTTATTTGAATGTCTGAATCCCTTCATTAACCCTCATTATAACAAATATGAGAAATCACAGCTCAGTGGTCAGCAGTGCTTTCTTCTTCTACTGAGGATCAATTGAATTGATCCTTATTTATATGTTGTGCTAATCAATTTACCTTGTCATACAGACCACAGGTGACTCCTATCAAGTATTAGTCAGTGATAAGTTGTTCCTGATGAAGGACCAGCTATTAAACTACTATACAGGGGAATGACCACATTTCAAACATGCAATTCTTACCTTTTGCTTCTCAAATCTAAAGGAAAACGGGTGATATGCAGGAATAGACCAGCTGTAGGGGTAGTCATCAGTGTGGTTTGAAGAAATTCCTATGGACATATAAGCACAAAGAGTCAAACTTCTGATCCATCATTTCAAATTGTTTTTAGGGTTGTTTTTTTTCTTTCAGTGAAACATAGTAGTTCATACCTGGATGAAACACCTTTCCCACTGACATGGTGTAGTAGCCTTCAGATTTAAAGTGCTGTGGCAGGGTAGTGTAGTTCCCAGCGTGGACTCTCCAGTAGGAGTTGAAGTCGTAGAGTCTGGTCGTGTCCGGTCTGCGACTGGTCAACATGGACGTGCGACTGGGAGCGCACACGGCTTGCTGGAGAAAGAGAGAGGGAGGGAAAAAAATGGCTCTAAAACACAGTGAGGCCAAGCTGTCATGAATGAATGCCAGCAGTATAATTCACAATGAAAACAAAATGCATTTCATAATTTAATGACTCATAACCAAATTGAAACAATTACTCCTTCAGTTGCTGGTAAAAGGTTGTATATACCTACAATAATGTCAAACAACATTTATTTTCATCCCAAGAATCAAGGAAATTATACAAACACCCTTACATTTAGTATTAGTCGAAGTTTTAACAGAATTGGATATTTTTAGAGTTCTGCTTTTTAGAGAAAAAGTTAAATGCTGCTTGTAGCTTGCTATCAATTCTTATTTTTAAAAGCATGCAATTTTACCCTAATAAAGTGGGTGAAGTGGAAAGAAAAAGTGAACACGTCAAGTTTTTTTTCTATGTTTGAAAAAAAAAAAAAAGCAGGAAATTGTTTAAAATCTTTCTACAAAGTCCTGCTCTGACCTGGGCAAACGCATTGAGGAAGACTTGGCTTTTGGATGCCAGCTGGTCGATGTTGGGAGATTTTGCGACTGAGTCTCCATAACAACCCAGGGACGTCCTCAGGTCATCCGACACAATGAAGAGGACATTGCTCCTCTCTGAAAACAAGCACACCTTAAAGGTTTAACAAACACTTGATTGACACACACAGATTCATGGTGACGGGCCAGGAAGCTTTATAAAAAAATTTAATTAAATTTAAAAAGCAGAGCGTTTAGTTTGAAACAAACAGGTAATAGTCACTTTCACTTCTCCTAATGTCCAGATCATTTGTCATAAAGTCTGTTTCTCAAGTCTGGCCCTCCTGCCCTGCATGTTTTAGGCGTTTCCCTTCTGCCACACCTGGATTGAATCTGTGGCTGATTAACATGCTTCTGATGGTGGTGCAGTCACTTGAATCAGTTGTTCTGCAATAGAGTCACAGCTGAAACATGCAGAGCACTGCACCAAGTGAACACATAATAAGAGTTAACGTTAGCGAATGAGACTAAATGACATAATAATAAAAACAATACGTCTTGGTTAAAACACATTAAGTTACAACAAACAACGCCAACACCGTCACAGAAATTCCTGCCAAATGAAAGCGTCGTTCAGTAAAAGAGAACAAAGCTTATTTCAGAGTCACTTCCTCCTGGTGTGAGTTATCTACCTGCTGCGGCCGCGGCGAGTAGCAGCAGGAAAGGCCACATAAAAATTCCCAGGTTCATGTCTGCGCTGTTCAGAGGACTTCTTGTGCGACACCTTCACCATACTCCGACAAGTAGCGACACTAAAGTGAAGGCTGCTGCTTAAATAACTTCCTGTTAATGAGACGACAAGAGGCGCTGCGCGCTCATTGGTCCAATCAGCTTTCAGTGTTGGCACGTGCGAAGGCTTTCACTAGTTCAATTACCTGTCAATCACTTTATTGGGCAGCAGGTTGGCAGAAATAAAGAACGTTCCCGTTTGGCGTGTTTATTAGTTCACTACGGTAGTATTGTTAATTAATCCTTGTCTTTGTGGACTTCATTCATTTCAAAATTTTCAACAATTAAAATAATAAAAAGATGATTATTATCAACTAAATATCATAGGCTCACAGGAGGTCGTCGTGTGTTTTTGTTTTGCCGTCTTAACTGTTCTTTCATATTCAAACCCACTGGAATAACTATCTCATTATGACATTTTCACAGAGTTGCCTGTTTTGTTTCTGATTCCGTCTCACTCGACTTTTTAAAGGCAAAAACCACCTAAAGAGGTCTCACTCTGTGCAAAATATATGCAACGTCTACGTCACCCGGTCTGTGAATACAGAAAAGGTTGTGAGTAAGTTCTTAAGAGCGAAACTTTTATCTTCAGCTTATGTCCTTGTCCTTTTGTTTATGGGGTGACGCCACAATTATGATTATTGTACTGGTTCAAAATTAATTCTTGCAAAATTCTTATTTAAATAATCAATTTAAACAATGAAGACCATGCATTTCATTAATCAGCGAAATATTTAGTTGACAATTAAAACACAATTATTATTTAAATTATTTGCATTTATTTTTTCCTTTGTGTGATTTTACTTGCAATCTGGTGTGTGTTTTTTTTTTTTTTTACAAAAATGAAATATATATTTCCTTTATTATTGGGGGACTAACTGTTTTTCCAGAAATGTTTATTTAATTCGTTGTTTGCTTTGCCAATCTTTATTGAAAAGCTTAAATGTTCCTTGAAGTGCTGAAGAATTATTATTTTATTATTATTATTATTATTATTATTATTATTATTATTATTATTATTATTATTATTGGCAGGTGTTTTACTTAAATAACAAAGTAGATGCACACACTGAGTTTTCTGCATTTGCTTTGAAAATTTAGCTGAGGTTTTCTGTGCTGAGTGAGTCCTCCTTCAAGACTGAGACGATCTTTGATCGCAGCAGCAGCAGCGGCGGCGGCGGCAGTGGCAGCCATGGCGACCGTCGCGGCTAAACGTGAAATTTCCAGCGCGGAAAGTGAAGAGTTGCCTCGTGAAGCCAAGAGGGCGAAAGGCGACGACAAGAACGGAGAGGAGAGCGGAAGTGAACCCGGATGGGAAAACATTCTCTCTGCGTTCACAACGTCCAGCGTGCTGAGCGACTCTGCCCGGGAGAAAATCATGTTTCTCCACGGAAAGGTGTTTTCCTCTTTAACTTAACCGAACATCACTTTATTTTCATCAAATGAAACATGTTTATCTTGCGAAGTGTTCATCCATAAGTCGACTGGAAGTGTGAGTTTACCTCTGATATTTGTCGAAAGCTGTGTGGTGAAGGTGCGTTAGTCACTTCCGGTTTATCACTTCAAAATAATAGTCCTAAATTCTTAGGTCTCGCACTGATTTACCTGAAGGTGAGCTAAACGCATGGTGTCGCAGAAAAAGACGTGTTGAGCGTGTCCTCTTCAGATAGCTGGCGATGAGGCCGTGGTGGTCCTGGAGAAGACCCCCGTCAGAGAGGACTCCCTGGCCGAGCTCTTCAGGGACTCCAAGCTCCGGCTGGACATGAGGAACGACATCTACAGCTCCTACCGCCTCCAGGCGCCCCCTCACCTCAATGGTACATACAGGACAGCAGGCAAAAGCTTTCAGAAACACACAGTGGATTTGAATTGGGTCTAGATTTTTAGCTGCGCCATTCTTTTTTTTTTTTTTTTTAAGGGGCAGTACCGAGTTAAATAAACTTCTTTTGTTTATAATAATTTTCCCTTATCAAAAACATACCTGGAGTGTTGCTTTGATTCTTTCATGCATGTTAGAGAAATCATGTAATCTCCATGGCGACCAGGTGTTTTGGAGTCAGTTGTCCAAAACGCCTGGGTGGACCGAGCTCTGCCTTCGAGGACGAAGCTCCTTCTCAGAACTGCAGTTTCCACGTTTCTAAGCTTCTGGCTCACAGATCAGCCTTCCCCCCACGACTGCCCCACTCAGATCCTTCAGACTAGCCAGCAGCAATTAGCAAACACCTGGTGGAACTGAGCATCAGCTGAGCTTATTATAGGAGCTACTTCTCAGGGCAGTGCTGATGAAAACATTTTTAGACGTTAATAGAGGAGCCATGTTATGACGACTTCCTTAAGGCGGAGTGTCAGAAAAAGCAGGAGCTTCTTAAAGAGACAGAAGCTCAATTTTAAGGTGTCAAATTACGTAGTCATTACAAATTACAAATTTCTTTCAACTCATATTTGATGTATATTACTTTTTTATAACAACTGAAACTAACATAGTTATTTGATTGTTCTTCAAAATGGCACATACCATGAGAAATACTTAATACCGCCCCTTTAAATGGTAAAATATGCATCATTTTCTTTCAATTCACAATCATCCACAGCTTTCTGTTGATTTACTGCATGAAATCCTGACTGCACGCAAACATTTAGAGGTGAAGAACGCTTCTCCAGGGCTCTGCTTCGTCTCGTAGAGATCAAGACCACGGTGGTGTGTCCGGCCACAGAGAAGCACCTGAAGAAGTACAGGCGGCAGGAGAGTTTCCTGGTGGAAGAGACGGGAGACGACTACCGCTCCATCACTCTGCCCTACATTCAGGAGCAGAGTTTGAGCCTGCAGGTGAGGAAACTTCCCAAAACCCGCCGACTTTCTCGGTTGCAATTTCACAATCGTTTGCTTTCGTCCTCCTCGTCCAGTGGGTCTACAACATCCTGGAGAAGAAGGCCGAGGCGGACCGGGTGGTTTACGACGATCCGGACCCTGAGGTTGGCTTTGTCCTGCTTCCTGACCTAAAGTGGGACCAAAAACAGGTGAAAGGCCAGAACTTTCTTGGCAATTTTGCTATTTCACACACGCAAAAAAAATTTCTCAACAAATATCCAAACCAGGTCTGTGCAAAAGAAATCTAGTCTGTCATTTTCCGCCATGTATTCATGAGTGACAAAAACAGGTTTGTTGACAGAAGATTTGCTTCTAACCCAAACATTTTCATACACTTGAAATAAGACAAAACTAACTTACGAGTAACTTCTCAGCAACACATAAAATCTTGTTTTAATTCCTTCATATTGATGAGGAAATACTAGTAGCAGATTATTTAATTCATAACGTCACTGTGAAGGTAATTTGCTCCACTTTCAGTCACGCCTTCCTCTGTCAAGTCTCACTGGATCATTTTTCACTCTTTCAGGTGGACGACCTCTACCTGATTGCCATCGCTCGTCAGAAAGACATCAAGAGTCTTCGAGACTTGTCATCGGAGCACCTCCCACTGCTGCACAACATCTTGCACAAGGGAAAGGTAAGACCCCAGGCCTGGAGAAACATGAAACCGTTCAGCTTCTTAATAGATTGAAACAGATATTGTAACATAACTGGGTTTTAGAGGCTCAAATGTTCTTTGGCTCTGCTTAGTAGAGAAAAAAAAATGAAATCAAGAGCTTTGTAACAGTTTAAGACTCTAATGATGGTAATATCTGCGGTACAGGCGGCCATCTTGGAGCGCTACAACCTTCCGGCCAGCAAGCTGAGAATCTACCTGCACTACCAGCCCTCTTACTACCACCTCCACGTCCACTTCACCAAGCTGGGCCACGACGCGCCGGGCTCCGGCGTGGAGCGGGCCCACCTCCTGTCCGACGTCATCCAGAACCTGCAGTCTGACCCGCAGTTCTACAGAACCAGGACGCTGTGGTTCCCCCTGAGGGCGGACGACGGGCTGCTGGGCCGGTTCAAGGAGGCCGGGAGGCTCTAACTGAGACCACGCCCTCCAATTCAGATGGCTTTAAATAGTGACCCTCTTCTGATTCCTCTAGGGTTTGTTTTTTAAAGTTTTTAATAAATTTGACATCATTTGGCTGAATTAAAGTATTTTTCTACTGGATTTTCCCTTCAACTGTTAAGAAACCTCTCTAAGACCGAAGTGAATTTAGAAGCCAGTTTCCCTTTTGTTTTGCAGCAGACTGAGGCTTTTATAAGTTTGAAGTATTTTATTAGAATTTTTTTTTTTTTTTTATCTGAAATGAAATTAAACATAATAGAAAATCCTGTTTCTTTTGATTTTTTTTGATATTTATATGTTTTAAAGGAGCAATGTCATGCGTTTTTCTGCCACTATGTGCTACTGCTAAGCACAATCAATTGTGTTATAAAAAATTTGTCTCTGAAATATGGCTTAAAAGAAATTTAATGACTTTGGGCCTCTGTCTCTTTAAGAAGCTCCTGTTCTTCCTGAAACTCCACTGTACTTTAATTTCCTGAGGGAGTCTTCCCAAGGGATCAATAAGGTACAAGTCTAAGTCAGAAAGTCATCAAAACATGGCTCCCCCATTAACCCTTTAGAAATATTCTTTTACCAGCATTGCTCTGAGAAGTAGCTCCCATAATGAGCTCAGTGGATGTGCATTTGTTTGCCAATTGCTGCTGGCTAGTCTGAAGGAGCTGAGTGGAGTCTGTTCTGTGAGGTGGAAGCTCATAAGCATGAAAACTGCGACTCTGAGCAGGAGCTTCATCCTGGAAGGTGGAGCAAGGTCCAACTAGGCATTATTACACAACTGAATGGTTACCATGGTGATTAAAAAATCTCTCAACCATGCATGAAAGATTCAAAGCAATTCTCCAGGTATGTTTTTGATGAGAGAATAAAAATATGACATGGGGTAAAGCTCAAAAACATAAATTTTACATAATGCTTCCCCCTTAAGGAAGTGGCTCTGAATAAAGAAACATCCAATGGATTCTCAGACCCTTGAGGGAGTTGAATGATGGGATCTGATGAAGCCACCTTTGAACTGTTTGGCTGCAGTTTGACACTTTACATCTGGAGAAAATCAGCAGACTCGCCAGG